GTGTATCTTCAACACTTGAGATTCTTCCATCTCTTCTATTCTGTTGGTAATGCTTGTATCGGTAGTACCCGACTGTTTGCCCAGCTTTTCTATTTCCTGCCTTTCTTCCGATTGTGTTTTTTTTTTAATTGTCTCTATTTCAGTTTTCAACCCTTGCAGTGTTTGCATTGCTTCTTGCAATTTTCTGTTTATCTTTTCGTCCATTTGTTGCCTTTTATGAATTTTTTGGTTTTGTTCTTTCTTCCATTTCTTGCAGTTTTTGGTGTGCTTTTCGTTCCATTTCTTGCATTTTTTGCTTTGTTTCTTCTTCCATTTCCTGCCGTTTTTGGTATGCTTCTTCTTCCATTTCTTTGATGGATTTTCCTATATCCCTTTTAGGGCCTCTATCATTTTCATAAAAGTGGTTTTAAGGTCGTTCTCTTCTGCTTCATTCGCATTGGAATGTTGGAGTCTTGCTGGTGTGGATTGTCTAGAATCCGGTGCTGTCATATTTTTCTGTTGCTGAGTGTGTTTTTGTATTGTCTCTTTCCCATCTCTTCTTCTAGTGGGTGCAGAAAGAGCCCCTTACTGGTCTGGGGACCAGAATTCCCTTTTGGTGGGTCCTAGCAAGTCCAATAATCTGGTGGTTCTTCTATTCCTTGTCCTCGTTCTGGTCCTGTGGGTGGAGAAGAACAGGAATCTGGGGGCGCTTAGCCTCCTACCTGGTCCCCTGGACCCTATGCTGGATCCTGTTGTACCTGATCCTGCGGCTGGAACAGCTGCTCCCCTGGTCTCCCTGGCTCCTCTGGTTTCCTGGTCTCGTTGGTGGGAGAGAAGTCTTGGCGTCTGGGGTGCTTGGCTCCCGCCGGGATTGGAAACTCTGTGCAGTTCCCAGGCGATCCGCAGGCACTGGAACACAGGCCCAGAAGCTGGCCTGTTTACCTGATGCTGTCGCCTAAACCAAGAACTTGTACCTTTTATAGCTTCAATGTGTAATTATAATTTTTCCAACGTTATTACTTTCCAGAAGAGACAAAATTCCAGCTAATAATCAGACAAACTTGGGCATGTAGTTGAAGCTGGACTGGCCTCACAAATGTTCGTAATAAAGGCTGGTCTTCAATTCCTAACCCTGCCTCTATCTGCTAAGGTTTCGGGCACTCACCATTACCCCTGGCTTTTACAAAACATACTTTGAACAGACACTTAAGTCATCCATTACCAAAACTTAAACCTCCCCCATTTCTCTCATCACCTGGCCATGCTTGCATTCTTCTTGATAGCATGTCTTCATACACATCATATTCTTTGAAGAAAAATTCTTACATGTATCTCCCTGTGGTGGTTAAGAAATGTCCCCAGTAAGATTCAGATATTTGAATACTTTGCTTTTGAAAGGTAGTGCTACCTTGTTTAGAGCCTCAACCTATTGCCAGCAGTCAAAGGATGTGATCTTTCAGCTTCTTGCTACTGCTGCCATAATGGGCAGCTTGTCTCCAGGCTTACCCACCATTGTAGGTTCTGTCTTCTGATCTTCACAAGTCACTTTTGGACATACTGTTTTATCACATCAACAGAAAAGTAATATCTCACTGGAGGCATTTAACACCTTCTGAACCTATGCAAATTCATTGATAGACTGTATTTTATCTCTTCCAAATTCCCAACTAGCTAGTGTTTCTGCTTTCCTTTTAACTGGAGCTCCAAGATGGCTCCAGTAGAACTAGTTTGCTCTAATGATTCTATCCTTCCTTACCACACTGCACCAGAAATGTTCCAAAAATAAAGTCCTCCTTTCATCTTTAGAAAATAGAAGGCCAGTTCCATACACACCATTAGAACATGATGTGAGCTAGGTGGCACACACTTTAATGTGGGAGGTAGAGGCAGGTGGATCGAAGTCAGTCTCATCTGGAGTTCCAGGACAGCAGGGGCTTACAGAAAAACCCTGTCTCAAAAAAATAGGAAAACAAAAACCTCCACAACCCCCCCCAAAAAAACACAAAAAAACAATAAAAAGAATACAATGTGGACAGTATTTGTGACATTAAAGGCCTTTTTCCTCTTGCCTGACTTTTCCTTCAGATACAAAGAACTCTGGGGACTATTCTCCAACTTAAGACTTGCTGGCCAGATAAACTAACTGTCAGTGTTGTCCCTGGTTCATGGAAAAGCATACCATCCAGAGGCTTGCCGATGCTATGCAGTTTAATCATTAACCCCCTTACCAAATTTAACCTGTTTCTGTGTATCACTGTACTTACAAAGTCTTTGTACCCAATGAATTAGAAAAATTCCTCAATGTTTACAGAAAGATTTACTGTTCCATTTTGCAGTGACCTTTTGGTTTTTCTTTCCTTAGGCTTCACATTCATGTAATTTATTGCTAAGTGTAACACGAAAACTAAAAGACCCAGAGACTGACAGTAGGGTTCAAGATTCAAGCTGAAGATCAGAAAAGCAAAGCAGTCAAGCTACTAGGTTCTTGCCTTTCTCTTATGTTGAAAGAGCTGATCTGTCTCCATGAACTCTCACCAAACCTGACTGCTGCCTCCCCTCAGCATGGCTGGAGAATCAATCCTTCTTATCCTCAAAGTGACTGGAGAATGAATGCTAGTTCTGAGACCTTGTTCCTGTCCTAAATACCTCTCATGATACCTGGGATTAAAGGTGTGATGTATCCCTGGATGGCCTCAAACTCAGAGAGATACAACTGCCTGTGTCTCCTGAGTCCTCGGATTAAAGTTGTGTGCCACCACTGCCTGGCTTCTATGGCTAACTAGTTTGAGTGCTTTGCTATTTTGGTTTTCAGTGGCTTTAATAAATCATAAACATCACCACAACTAAGGATAAGGCGTATCTTCTACTAAACCCTGAGGGCAAATAAACTGTTCCCAGCAATTCTGATTTCCCCAGCATCTCATTTGCCTATACACTGTCTAGTCCTCAACCAAGCTCTAACAAAGAAAAACCTGAGTTCCTACGAGAATGGGATCACCATATTTTTCAGTCCAGATGTCAGGGCAGATATTCCTCAATGACAGTTGAGTAGCGTGACTTATTTAAAGAAAACACACAAAGTTAGTTTGTAGTAGTGATCTCATACATTTAAATGGTGACAATCATTTTTAACTGTTAAGTCCCTATAATTTTTCACAATTTATAGAAAAAAATCTCATAGCAATGAAATAAATTAAACACAATGTCATAGAAACGAATTAATTTTCTATCAGAGTATTTCACTTCTTCTAACCCCTTACAGTCAATAGAAATTAGGCACTTTTACTAACACATAAACCAGCCGCTTGCCAATATAAATACTTCCATCCAAAGCAGAGAAATAACTATTAAATTCAGCTCACATTCATGAACTTAACATTAAAAACCTCCTGGGAACTATCACTAAACGAAGCATCTTGTCTACGTAACTTAATCTCACTTTGTCAAATCTATTTTTGTCCACTAAGTTTTTAAGGCAGGCAGGCACTCACCTTTGATCTCCAAAGGCAGGTGGATCTCACATTTTATATCCAGCCTGATCTACACAACAAGGTAGGATAGCTAGAGCTACCTAATTAGACCAAGTGTCAAAAATAAAGCAAACCTTTAGAATATTCATTGTTTTGTGGAAGCCAGTCTAGACATGGTCTCAGTCCATAGCCCAGGCTGGACTACTGGAGATCCACTGCCTCAGGACTACTTGTGTTGGGATTAGAAATGTAAGCCACCAGAAGCTAACACCCAAACGACAGATCACCTTAGATGGACTTTTAAAGAAAGCAATGATCAGGATGTACATGTACTCATCATCTTAGAAAATGCCCAGATTCTTCTTACTAAAATGCTTAACTTCTGTGGGAACATAAACTAGGTAATTTTACTCTGAACTGCTATCCAATTCTAATCAGATATCAGAATTCTGTGTGCAAGTAGTCAGTCAGTATAGAGCAGCTCAAAACTACATTGGTGCAGTGTGTGTTCAAGGTGATTTACAACCAATTTTTTTAGGAAATAACTTTAATGTTGCCTACTAGTTCTGTACGACTACTTTTAAAAAACTATCCTGGTAATTGTTTTCCTAATGACAGTATTTGATGTTAATGGATTTGGAAAAAGAGTAGACATTAGTACAAAGTATAACTTGAATTAAAAACCTGAATGGAGTCACCAAGGAAAAAAAAGATGTGAAAGTGAGATGGAGACTTGTAAAGAAGATGGGCAGTTAGACAAGAGGGAAATGGGAGATGAGTAGGACAGAATATATAAATGTATGAAGTTGTTAAAGAACTAGTAATTAAAATATGAGTAAAATGACTTATCACCAACTAGTTAAGTTTAAACACCATGCCAGGATTGGAACACTAGTTTCCTAAGAGTTAAATACTACTGCAAGTATATCACCCATGTATATATTTAATAAATCCGCAGGCTGTATTCTGACATTGGTTAAATCAAATTGTGTCTGTATAGGAAGATAATGTTAAAGGTGATAAAGTTACACTTTTAAATACTGAAGTTCCTGTATTCTCTGCAGGCCTACAAGCACAGACAAAACACAAAACCATGTGTTGATTTTGTATGCGCTCTAAAAAGTTCAACACTGTCAAGAAGAAAACTGTCAAACTTACATTCCCAATGTTTATAGGCAATTTCATACACACCCAACTTCAGGTTCAAATCAAAAAGTTAAAATGAAAAAAAAAGAAAGAAAGAAAGAAAACAAACTTTACAAACTTTTTAGGTGACTTACTATGATAGAAAACTGTCACAAGGATTGACAAGCAATATATGAAAATGTGAGAACACTGAAGACTATGAAAACAGCAAACTGTAAAAAGCAACTCAACCACAAAAGATGAAAACAAAAAGCCTAAAGTATGGTTTCAAAATATCAACAGATATGTAAATAGCAAACTAAATTACCAACACAATCCCACTCCTTGGGATTTTACATACTACAGAATGTACTGTTATGCTTATCTACTATAAAACTGGCAATCAGACAAGGAGTACAACAAGTGTCAATCTTTTACCAATTTATTTCATACAAAACAGTAGCAATGTAGAATGTGGGGTTATCTTCTGCTGTCACACACGCAAATTGTGAACATTCCAAGCCGATGTACAGTTTAGAAGGAAGGCTAAACAATAGCATCAACCATGCTACTGAACATGGGAACTTTTTTATTTAAAAAGATTAAAAATTAGATAGCAATGTCTTCTTAATATTGCTCTCATCATTGAAGACTAAAAAAAAAATAAGAAGTGACTTTATAGGTTTAAAAAAAGAGGGAAGAGGAGAAACAGGCTGCTACAACACTGCCATATAGTCAAACCATCATACTTCAATATTTGCATACTTGATAGCAGCATTATTTTTACTGAACCGTGGGCAGCTACATGTAGAAACACAAAGCAAAATACTATGGCAGTTACTGATCAAGATCCAAAAGAAAGAAAACAAACAAAGTAACTCTAGGATGAATATACTGTAAAAAGAACATTTATAGAGAATGAATCAATATCTACATTCTTGGACTGTTCCATTCTGCCCCAATAAAAGTGTCAACTCAACTGTCAACTGTGCATTTTTGGAGGATCTGAGATTTCCAGTTCTTATTCTACTGCATGCTTGGAACAAAGATGATAATAAATCCTTCTACACAATGAGCTTTAAGTAGACAGCTGAAAATAAATTTACTACTTGTAAACACACAAAAAAAATACAATATTTGTTTTATCATCTTCAATCAGTGCTTCCAAAAGCACATTATCTTCGATAACGACCTCTCTCCCCTCGGTCTCTGTCCCGATCACATATTCTTTCTCTTTCTCGATCACGACCTCTGTCTCGCTCTCTGTCTCTTCTGTTATCTCTAGGACGGTCCCGCTCTCGCTCCCGATCTCTTTCACGGGGTCTACTTCTCCGACCACTGACAACAGCTTGTGTGCGGCGAAGGAAATCATCCACCCTCATATCATAATCATGCTAAGAGAAAGGAAAATTTGGTCAATGAAGCAAAAATTTGCATGGGATTTATGAGTTCTTGCAGTTGCCTGATGAAGAAGAAATAAAATATAGAGACATGATTTCAAAGAACTTAATTTTGACACTCATATCCCTAACTGGAATCCACATCTCTTCCTATAATTTCCTGTTCAACTTGAAGATTTAGGCTAAACTTCTTTTAACTTATTGTTAATAGAAATTCAAGGAATGATGAAATAAAATTTTGGGAATCTAATAAACTTTAAAATTTACTTCCAAACTATAAACTTATTTCAGTAAGACTGGGAAACTACCCCACATAAAGCTAACAATGCACTTTGAAGAATGAAGAGGACCAAAAAGGATGAAGTAAAACCCAGGCATAAAGGAAATGCAAGACAAAGCAGAGGTCAAGTAAGTCTAAGCTTGGTGCCCTCTCTACCTTAAGATTTCCAGTTCAGTTTCTGGTCATCCTTCTTACTAAGTGTGGCACATTTTCAAAATTCAGCTTCAATGTAGAGAAAGCAAGGTTTAGAACACAATTTCATACTACCCTGCACACGCACGCACATATGCAAAACGTAAATGTACTACTTAATTCAAAAGAGGAGTCCATTCAATTTTTTAACATTCTATAAAACAGTTTAATGATACTGACGAATACTGCTAGGTTAGAAATTGGCAGGCTTTATTTTCTGACAACAATACCTGGACTATATATTGTGAAATCATATGTAAATGCTAATAGTGCGCTTTATGAAAAGAAATCATATGTAAATGCTAATAGTGCGCTTTATGAAAAGAAAAACAGTAACACAGTCTTTGAAATAGGAAGTCAATCCAAGATTATTCAAGTTAACTAACCCTTGCAAACAAGTTTTTTGAGACAGGGTTTCTCTGTGTAGCCATGGGTGTCCTGGAACTTGCTCTGTAGACCAGGATGGCCTCCAACTCACAGAGATCCACCTGCCTCGGCCTCACAAGTGTGCCACCACTGCCTGGCATATTCTTTATATCTTTAACATTAAACTACCATCCAAAGTCACCAAACTTAAATGTGCATGGAAATATACCAGAAAACATTTTTGTAAAAAAAAAAAAAAAAAAAAAAAAAGGCCTATATTATCTGAAAACTGGTTTTAATAATCAAACAGCTCTACAAGTATGAGAGAGAAGTACTTAGAATTTCTGGGTGCCACTTGGTTACTAGTTTTAAGTAAAACTTGGTTAAAAATAATATTTAGAAACTGTCTTAAAATGTATCATCTTACATGTAAAACTAGATTTAGAAAAGTTTTGAATTATATAGCTAATAATTAAGGCCCCAGTATAGGAAGACTCTCATAAGCATACTACTATAACGCTTACACATTTACACACACATATACTGGGGTTCAACTCATGAAATATGAAATACAAGTCTATTTAAATAACCCAAAAGGATATGATCAGCTATTTTTCAATGGAAACAATATTCACAGTCTGCAGTAAGAAAACAAATGGTTTATCTAGTATGCACCCATATATAAATCACCTACAGAAATTCTACGTACTTCTCTCACACCTCTGCCTTTTTGTGCACTTACTACTCGTTTATCTCTGTATCTTGCTTCATGTGGTACAGGATGGTGTCCTGAGTAAGGGGGGTGGGCTTGAGGAGGTGGAGCATGGTGCTGGTAGTAAGGATGGTGTGGAGGCTGTTCCATTCCCGGATAAGGAGGCTACAAAAGAAAGATCATCTACATTAAAAAAAATCTACCAAATACCCTTGCAGACAAACCCATTTGTAGAATCCCTATCTCCAAATCACACCAATCCCAAATAATCTCACCATTTACTATTCATACACATTGAAAATATTAACGATCCCTGAAAATAACCTGTTTGCTAAAAACAAAATACACATAAAAGACATACATTATAGTTTAACATATTTCTACCTTGCTACTTGTATCATCTAAATTCTAATAGATAAAAACACATGGCACTTACTAAAACCAAAGCACTAGCCCTTAACTTAACCCTATTTGGCATTTAATGTAGCAAATTTATACTATTTCTAGGTTAAGCAACTAGACTACAGTCCCACTTCATTAAAGGCCACAACAGAGAAGTGTACACAGCTGAGGTACAATTGTAGTACCTTAAGCTCTGGAATAATTTATCCACAAATTTTCTCCAAAATAAAGTCTAGGAGCTAATAAACTTTAAAAATGCCAATACAGGGGCTGATGAGAGGACTCAGTGGGTAAAGACACCTGCTACCAGGCATGGTGACTAGAGTTCAATCCCTAGGACTCATGTCTATGTATGGCATGCATATGCCCACAGACACATTAAATATAATGTGCCATTATAAAATTAATAAAAGGCACATGGCAGATCTTAGAGTCAAGTTCATCTTAGTATTTAGACTCAAAGAATTTCAGTAAATCTGTATGTGTAAGATAATGGGAAACTGCTTGAGGTGAAACCAAAGATAAGAAGTCAGCTAACAGCATTAAAAAACACAAGAAACCCAGGAGTACTTCAGCTACAAAGTTTAAATTCTTGGGAACTGCTTCCAGATATTAACATGTCAGAATATACTTTAAGAATAATATAAAATTTTCTTTGAAGACAGAAAATTAAAACTCAGGTTTTAATTCAGTCTTCTTTTAAATGGAGTTACATTTACTTATTATCCCATTAGGTATAATTAGAAACTTCACATGAATCTTAGTGAACTTATTTTCTGCACAATCCTAAATTGACACTATTTGACTGATGGTTAAACTTTACGAGATGGACATAACTGTTCATTTATCAACATATATGGCAAAGCAAGCACACTTCTGTGCACAGACTACTCAATATCTGTCCGATGGGCAAAAGAATGAATAGCCCAGTGAATTTTATGCATAAAGTAAACAGATAGATATTACCATGGAACGTGGTCAAAATGTTTGAAAGACGAGTAGGTAAATCACCCAGGTTAGGAGCTTATACTAACCATTACCATGATGTTTTACATATATCTATAATAAGCCCATATTATTAAGCCCATACTTAAGGATAAATAAACTGTCTTTCATATCACAAAAATTTATACTTTAAGGCTCTTGATGGGTATCACTTTCTGAGTAAGCACTGACACTGAAAATGAAGTTAAAATAAAAATATTACAAAATAGGATAATACAAACCATTCCTTGCCAAGGAGGTGGTGGTCCCATGTTATGAAATTCCCTCACATAATCATTGTAGGACTAAAATAAAAGATGATATTGTCAATAAGTTAAAATTGAGGGAACAAAAAATCAGACTCTAGCTTTAAGTATATAAAAGTTAATGCTTACCCCATTTAAAAACACATCTCGGCGGACTCCTGAAAATCGTCTGTTGGGAATAAGATTTGTGAAACTAAATTCAGGTAATTCATAAACTAGTTCCAAGAATGTAATTCAAAACTAAGCAAGAGTGAACCCAACTTACCTGTCAACTTCCTGGTATCGGGGATCCTTTAAATACCCTGTTCAAACATCAAGCATTTTAGTAAATCAAATTTTATGTTTTTACTATGGCATTACAATTAAACCTTCCTTACCCATGAAAAATATACTTTAAAGGATGTTACCATTCAACTACTAGGTTTTCACATGTTATTATGTGGGCTAAGGGCAGAGGACTAAGGAGTGTACAGTCTGAACTGGCTTGAGAACACTATAGCAGAATCCTTTTAGAGAATGTTTACCTTTCACCCTGAGAACTTACAGCTAAGTTTTAAAACATGAAGACTCAATAAAGGACACAAAATTCAAGAGCTGCAAAAATGAACATATATACTCCAAGAACCAAGTAACAAAACAAATGTACTCTATCCTCACTTCCATATCTGACTCATCCTGTTATAGGGAAGTATTTGTCGTAATAGAACACAATTACCTCCTTTAAGAAAAAAAGTGTTTCTATAAAGCCATTTGTTCCAAAACACTAGCTAACCAAAATGAGTTTTACCAATGTGTCAGTGACTGTAATTGAAGCATACCTTCTTTAATCCCACTGAACAACACACTAACTGAAAATTGACACTTGGATGACAAGTGTTTCCCTATCACGCTCAAAATTGGTATCAGGATTTTTAGTTTTTTAAAAAAGGCATAATTTCTATTTTGATTTCTGATTAATGCTGTATACTATAGGAAACACTGCACGTCATAGGGAACAGGAAACATAACAGGTTAGTTTTTTCCGGCATCTCACACATGTACAAATCAATTTCCATTTTTGCAAAGTCAGCAATTTCAGATAATTATGACTCACTGTAATAGAACTATCTAAACATAGTAGGGGAAGAATTACTAATTAGAACCAGTAATGATTTCCTAATGTATAAAGTGGTCATGCCTTAAATGTTCTTTACTTTTAAACCTACTGGAAGTTTTTTGATTTAATAATTTTAAGTCAAATAATCTTCAGGATTATAAAATATTAACCTGGTCTCTGGTGAAACTCAGGGGGATAGTCAATCCTTGGTTTCTTTCTGCTGTTATGAATATCATAATCTTCTGGTCGACGCCTACACAAATTAGACACATTAGAAATTAAACCAAAAACAGCTGGGAAAACAAACAGCAAAGCAAGAGTTTGACAGAGATGAGTACAAAGAATAGCCCAGGACTTCCTAAAAAAATCTCCACTAATTTTTGGAAAACAATGTAAAGTTCTTAGATTTTAATTCCTCAAAGGTAAACCTTACACATTGGAGTAGACACCTCTGTAATCTCACACTATGAGACAACCCCAAGGATTACCTACTTCAAGCCTATAAATCACATTTTAGTAGTCTAAACATATAAGCAGTTCTTTAACAACTCAAACAGTTTCCCAAATGTTACCATTCAAAGGAAAACAATACCAGCAAGTATGAAATAGCTTAATCTAAAATTTATATACTGTAATTTTAGAGTCAATCTAAACAAAATTAAGTAAGTCTTAAATGATGCCTGTGCTTTACACAAAACTATACTTTTCATGATTATACAGAAAGTTTTAAATTTAATAAAGCTATGTAACAGGAAAGTTTTGAAAATGTTAGTTATTTGAAAAAACTAGTATCTCAGTAACATTTACTTTCTTTAATAACACTAATAATTAAGGTACTTTCCCCAGAGACAATGCTTTATAATAAAATAGCTCTCACTGTCATGTAGTTTTAACAGAGTTCATAAAACTAGGTCAAAGTTTAACTTTAGAAGGTGCTATTAATTTGCAGAGGGCTGTTCTTTACTGTCTTTCATAAACCTTCATATACATCATAAACATTATAAAAACACACTTAGCATTTAATACGAGCTAAACAAAAAATAAAAACAAAAGGTCCAAACATTTAGGAAATAAACACATCCTTTTACTATTAGTTTCAAATATATAGTTTAAAATAACCCAGCATCAATATTTTTGTCAGCTATTTCTTTAAGTATTGAATGTTTTCATTAACTTTTGTAACAAGTCACTCAAACTGCAAAGTTAAAATCCAACAAACCCAAGCACCCCCCAACAGAATAAAAACAGTTGCATCTACAATAAATAGTACTAAGAAAATTAAAAGCTGGTTTATAAAACAAACATACCGCTTTCTTGTAGTTTGGGGAGTGCATTTACGACCGGTATAAAACATGATAGTAACAGTTCATATAGTAGTCCAACTACTGACTTTAAGCTGTAAGCCACATACATAAATGGAGGCCCTGGCAGGCTTGAGAGAAGGTGTAGTGGTGTTTTAAGTATAGTTTGCAGTCCATTGCAAAACTGAGGAAAAACTTCACTTGTATATATTGTATTGCTCTGGAAACCTCTTAGCTTAAAACTTCAAAAGACATCTTGGTGATCAGTCCTTTTAGGCCAAAAGTAAGGGGCTCTGCCAGGTTTCCTCCTACCTACTTGACAAAGTCCTTTTTAAGCTCAAAGAAATGGGACTCTTGTTGGATATCTGTACCTACCACAGGTTGTTTCCACCAAAAGGAAACTTAACCAAAGATTTCATCCCATCAACCACACATCCAACAGTCTTTAGCAGAATATTTTAGATTTAGCTGTATGCAAATCTATACAGGGGAAGGTGTTGGGTAGAAGGGCTTAAATCAGTTCTTTTCAAAGACTTCTCTCCAATTCTGTAACAAGTTAAACCCCCTTTTCCTGGAAAATGCTGTTTAGTTCATAAGGTAGTGATCAATAACCATGGCGATCCTCTAAAAACAATTTAAGTCCACAGGTACTGCCAGCATCTGGAAAAGTTGTAAATAGACACAGCAACAGCCCTTCGTTTTGGTTTGTTGCCGGGTCTCCCAGGGCCACTTGATCCCCTTTGGAAACAACCTATTGGTTTCAGAAGCTCAGCAGGATGTGTGAATTCACTGGGCACATGTTACAGAATATGTGGCAATGGGGTTAACACATCACGGTGATAAAATTGGAAACAGTCCCAATAATGCTCCTCTTGAATATGAAATAACTTAAACATTTTATCCTCTAAGTGAGGCGTCATCTTCTTAAAAAAATATTAGTGATCCTTTATAAAAGTCCCATATGTGATAATGCTTATCCAGAGACACACCTGAAAGAAAAGGCTTTTCATAAAATATTAACAACTTTTGCAAATAAAGACTTCCTCCTCTCTAACCTGTTATTAGGAGCAAAACGCCTACCTCATTTCTCTTGCGTACTGTTTTATCTGAATACTAGCTAGTCTAAAGTGGTCATCACTCGTTAGTAAATTATTTTTTCTGCATTAGGAAAGATCCCCATTTTCCTCTTGAAAAACATGACTGAGACCAAGGTGACCATGTGAAATCCTCAATGAAGCCACAAACTAGTCCATGCAGCTTGATTTGAGGATTTTCTCTTTCTTCTTTACCGCAGGACAAACTTTTGACGAATCACATTCCTCCATCATGTTATCCCGATACATGTGCCTATTATCAGTCCAAAGAACGTTTCTAACCTTCCCACATCCCGGACTGGTTCTCGACGGGATGGACGTCCTCTTGATCGAGGCTGAGAATGCATTCTTCTCTTGTGACGCATTTTATGAATGAGCTGATACAAGTCAATACTTTCATCAGGGGGAAATAGAAGACAAAGCTGGGTTCCACATTCAAGTTCAATTTCCTGGAATGTTAAAGTAACAATTAACAGCAAAATAGAATCTCAAAAGACTTAACAGTTTCCTTGTGTACAAAACTGAGGACTTGACTTTAAAGTCTTTTTTCCCTAGATACTAAACACTAGATTCTAATAAACTTACTGATTTATAAAAACCCTTCCAAAGTGTTTAATGTGTTTGAAGAATATAAACTGCAAGTGTAGCTTCTCATCCACCAGAGTAGCTGTTTAAAACTCATATTGCCCTCTATTCTATTTCATTTTACCCAAAGAAATATTTGGGTAAAACACAGAAATGCAAGTCCTTCATCTTAAAACAATTAAGAAAGACCATGTTCCCAGTGATGGTGGTGCACACCTTTAATCCCAGCACTTGAGAGACAGAGGTAGGTGGTCTCTCTGAGTTCGAGGCCAACCTGGTCTACAAAGCTACACAGAGAAACCCTATCTCGAGGAAAAAAAAAAAAAAAAAAAACCAAAAACAAACCAAAAAACCAAAAAAACCATGTCTGAGAAATACCTAGAGAGGCAGACTAACCTATAAGCTTACACAAAATTGTTACTTTTGGGCCCAGCAGTGGTGACACATGCCTTTTATCCCAGCACTCAGAAGGCAGAGACAGGCGGATCTCTGAGTTGGACACCAGCCTGGTCTACAGAGCAAGTTCTAGGACAGTCTCCAAAAAAGCTACACAGAGAGAAACCCTGTCTCGAAGAAAAACAGTTACTTTTAGTTAACATCACTTTCACTCACAAGCAATAGCAATAATGAATATCTGTTGGTACCAAATCATGTAAGGGAACTATAAACACAAAAGGTTCAGATTTATTTTAAATCACTACAGATATTCAATTTCATCTGCAGATGTGTACATATGTGTATAATGTCTTTTCAGTGATCAATTTTATATTCAGAAAAAAATTCAGACATGCTAATGGCAATTCTAAAACTATAAATTACCAAATTTTTAAGAATTTATAGTGAGTGCTTGTTCCATCAGTACATATGCTAAAAAAAATCAGAATGATCCAGATAATAGTACGCCCCTTGCAAAAAGGATAATGCAGATCCATGAAAGTTCCACACTAAAAAAAACTAAAAACAAAAACAAAAAAACCCCCAAAAAACCAGATACTTCTTTTATTGTGTTCCCTTTGGTTTTATTAGTAAAAGTACCGTTTACCTGAGTACCAACATTAATATCTTACTAGTAGTCACAATCACAGGCATCAGGAATTCCCCAATACTGTTTTTCACAGTTCATATTTTTCAGACATGGCTTTAAAGTGTCCTTTGATAAAGGTCTACAAATGGCTGAATAATGTAACTTAAAAATTAAACAAACCTGTCCATCACGCCCAATCTTGACCGGCTTATGTTCATTCCAAGGATTGGTAAGATGAGCTGATTTAGTAAAGGGTAATTCACGCCTAAATGTAAAATAGTATAAATTACATTCTTTTGCACAGTCTTAAGGGTATTATACTAATGAGTAGTATCAAGTTAATGAACTTATAACACAAACCAAAGTATTCAAAAGACACCCAAGGTTGGTAAGATAAACAGCACACTACTACATCCCTAACCTTTTTTTCAGATGTAGGTTGCTCCATTAATATCTGGCTTTGTTCAGCCAGGTGATGGCTGCACACGCCTTTAATCACAACATTCTGGGAGGCAGAGGCACATGGATTATCTGTGAGTTGGAGGTCAACCTGGTCTACAAAGTGAGTTCCAGGACAGCCAGGGCTGTTACACAGAGAAGCACAGCCTCAAAAACAAAAACAAAAAAAATACAAAAAAGAACCCCCAAATAGGGCTTTGTTTTATTTATAGATAGATATTTCTTTTTCTTATAATTTACCACCAGTTTAAAACATTCAAAGGGGAAGGTGACTGAGAGATGGCTTGGCAGTGAAGAGCACTGGCTGTTATCCCAGAGGACCTGAGTTCAATTCTTAGTGCCCACATGGCAGCTCACAACTGTCTGTAACTCCAGTTTGAGGGGCTCTAATAGCAATGTATATAAAACACAGTCACATTAAAAAAAAAATCATGTAACTGAAAACCTAGTTAAAAAAACAGATTATTATTTTATCCCTGGAAATATAACAGCACAATATCCAGCATCTATAATAAGGTATCCGCCAAACCAGACACATCATTTAGGGCTATGACTTTTTGGGACCATCAGCCATAATTAGACGGAAGAGACTACACACTGCTGGGTGATACTAATTAATCTCAGCCAGAATGTGACAGACATTTGTGATACCATAGAGAAAACAAAATTAAGCATGTTAGAACTAATGGCATCCTTGATCCACATACCACACTACCTGTTCACAGTTACAATAGGGATCTAGTCACCTTTTGAGCAAATAAACTATGAAAAAGAGTACATCTATGACACTGACAATATTAAGTACACCAGCAAATATGGGAGACCAAGACTTAAGTCACTTTATTGGGTACAAATTTAATAAAGAATATAACACAGTGAAGCCTTTATGTGATAACAGTAGTTTGGCTATTAAGAGTAAATTTAATTCTGGATTAATAGTACTTCACAGATTACAGCGTTATTCTGGGCTCATTCCAGGTAGCAACATAGCCACTTAAACATGCCTCCTTCTATTCACTCCATTCCAACTTTCATCTGCCTACAAGGTACCTGACTTATTGGGGATTCAAACTTAGAATTGGTGTCAGGACTCTAGAATGTTAAATGTTTTCAGCTCTGACAATCTAATCTCATTTTGTAGAGAAGAACAAAACTCAACCTTCAAATGACTTACATGAAGAAGCAAGTATCTATAAAATATAACTTTGCTCTTGCCTCCCCAAAATATTCCACAATGACATGCTAACAATATTACAATTATGCACCCACAAATAAAAGTAACTTTTTACCTGTATCAACTAAAAAATAATCTGTCACAAAATTTTCATAGTATTTTGTGTGTGTGTGTGTGTGCGTGTGTGTGTGCAGGGTCAGTTTTTTTATTTTCAGATTCGAGACAGGGCTTCTCTGTATTGTTTTGGAGGTTGTCCTGGAACTCGCTCTATAGACCAGGCAGGCCTCGAACTCAGAGATCCGCCTATCTCTGACTCCCGAGTGCTGGGATTAAAGGCAAAGTCAGTTTTCTCTCCTTTCAAACTAGGTCGTCAGGCTTCATAGCATGCACCTTTACCCGCTGAACCATCTCACCAAAATTTTAAGTTAGTATTATAACTTAGGTAAATTATTATCTTCTAAATAACTACATATATGTAAACCAGGGAAAAAGGAGAAAAGAGTCACCAATATCAACAGTCTCATTCTAATGCACTGTAATTACCTATTTTTTAATTTTTTCAGTTTTTACATGTTACTGCATGGACATTTATTTTTGTCAAACGTAACATACTTCACTTAACCAATTTTATATTTACTTGACAAAATCTAAATGCCTTTCAATTTTTGCTATTGAATGTGATCATAAAATATAATTTGTGGGCTATAAGACAGCTCAGTGAGTTCATGTTTCCAGCACTCATGGACTCATGACTACCTGTAACTCCAGTTCCAGGGTAACTGATGCTTCTCTAGACGCTGGGCACCTACCCTCACATGTACATAGACACACATGTATACATAAAATTTTAAGGAGTAAAAGTCAGGTGTGGTGGTGCATGCCTTTAATCCCAGCACTTATAATTCAGAGGCAGTGGATCTCTGTCCAGGATAGCCAGGGCTACATAAAAAGATCCTATCTCAAAAAAAAAAAAAAAAAAAAAAAGTCTTTGAATACAACTAAAATCCTGCAAGAATGTGATTTGCAGTTTTCAGGCTTTCTATTCAAAACAACCTAATACAGTATTTCCACTTAGTTTCAGAAGTCCTGGCTGAACCATATCATTATTCAGCTCTTCACATCCCTATTTCATTCACTCATACAGCCTCATGTCTTTTGCAGGTCTACTTTCATGAAAAGAAACAGCATTTCCCCTCCTCGTTTAGTTTCTTGAGTCTTGACTTAATATGAAGTGATCCTCCTGCCTTTGCTCATGCCCACATGTTGGTGTTACAGAAGTGTACCACCATGCTTCATTTCTTTAATGTTGTAATAGATATGAACATGCCATGAAAAAGCTCCCTTTAACTATTTTACTACAGAATCTTAACATTATTCTCAACCAAAAGTTGCCCATTCAAAACATGCCAATTTTCTCTGTACTGGTGTGTGTAATTTACCTGCAAATCCAGTCAATTTTAAACACACCTCCAAGCATTTTAGCACTCATTCCTGCTGGAAGCACCCAGTGTATAGGAGATCCACCATGATGTGATTCTGAAGACAGTCTGGCAAAACCTAAGGGAACAATCACAAAATGAATTTGCTTAGTGCTACTGTAATTATTATTGTTATGTGTCCAAAGTAACAACTTTTATTCTTACCTTGAAATTTTCCACTTTCTCGGACAGAAAATATTAAGATAACACTCCTTGCAGATCTGAATGCAAGATTTAGTTTCTTCTCATTTACAGGCAATGTGGACCATACACCCTACAGAAATAATGGAAAGATAACAAGTTAAATTAAATACAAGTCTGTTAACTATAATGATAGAAGAATAAAAGTTACTATGTTGATGTTTGAAATTTAAGAAAGCCCTAATAGAAATGTCTTATTTGTTAGATGTAAAAGTATTTGGAAGTTACTTATCTGATAAAACACAAAGAAATTTAACAACCATAAAATAATCTTTACAAAGGAGATTGTCAGGCAAGTCTTATGAACTAGAATTCTGTATTAGCAATCACTACAATTATTCTAAAATTAAAATAATTTATTCTGGTAGGTATGTTAGGTAAATGGCAACTTGTCTTTCTCAACAGGTGTGACTAATCACATTAATTTAAAATGACTTATGAGCACTAACACTGTAAGTTTGAAATTTATGTAAGTTGAAGATGTCTGTTTTTAACTAGAGCTAGAGCATAGTTATTTAAACTCATGATGAAACAGCTGTAACCAATTTTTATTTAAAAAAAAGTCAAAGAGTAAGGTTAAGGCAAAGAAGCTCTAATTCTCTGTGGTCTTTTTATTCACATTTCAGTATGCCATTACCTCAGCCTAAAACTAGTAAGGCTACTTGATTATTGTCACCTTTTCTTTGTAAATTTTTATGTGTAATCATTGACCCAAGTTAGAAACACTATTAATACCCACTGAAATAAAAATAGCAATGTGAACATTCTGATAATCAGCTGAAAATGTTACTCAATTTAAGACTTTGAAAATATGAACACGAATGTACTGTGTTTCTTTAGTATCCTCCAGCAAATGACAATTCTTATGGTAAAATTTAGGTGGATTTTTAAAGCTTTGGCTCTCCCTTCTTTCTAAAGCCAAGTGACATTGAATATATTAATGCTGGATATAAAGAAATACTAACAGAAACACATCTATTACAGTATAAATGATACAATCTTCAACACTGTATTATGATTTCTAGAATAATAGAAAAAGGTAAACTCATACCACTACCAGGTGTCCTTACTCGCCACAAACCAGATCTAGAGTGGCAGCTGGCAAACTGAAAGCATCTTATGCTATGTGGAGGTAATTTTCATTGACCACTGCACCTCAACATTTCAGGATGGGGACTGTTTCAACAGAGCTGGTGCTAATACCTTAGCTTTGGCAAGAGACACATTCTCATGGTTGTTACTCTTTATGAGGAAAAATCTTGCATCTTGAAGGACGTATTTGAGTTTACTGGTTTGATCTGAAAAACAGAAATTCATTTTCATTAACCACAGACATAACACACAGGTGTGCCAAGTATACTAAACTAGCCCTCCAAACCCAGCTAAACTGTAAAGATTCCAGTAACCCAATCAGCCTAGAAAGCTTAGGCACAACAGAATAAAGCAAAGCTAAGGAGAAAGAACCAGCACTGTGCAGGCCAGCGTCACCCAGCGATGTTCCGTTATATCAGACCCATGCTTAAGTATGACAAAGGTTTCAAGTTCTATAAACTTTTATCAGATTCATTTAAAGATTGATCAGACTATTGCACTGTTAAATATATGTTCAAATCCATAAATATTATCAATCATTATGTCTAAAGACTAAAATATCCCAAGCTGCCTAAAATTATTGTGAAAGATAAGGAATGTTCTGTTTAAGTTTATAATGCTTTCCCCCTCGACACGATATATCGGAACATGACCACTTTAAAACCAACCATTGATGGAGAACCAAGAGGGTAAAATAATGACTTTATGGAGCATGCAATGAAAACAATTTCAAATTTAAATGATACCTTTTCGGACAGCACGAACGGAAGATGATAATTTCTCATGCTTCTTTTCTGAACCTGTATTTAGCCAAAGTACATTTGTTCAGATTGAGCTTTAATAGATGAAGACAAAATTTCTACAGTCTTGCCACATAAAATTCTCATTCAAGACAAATTAATTCTTCCTAGCGCACCCACACACACAAAATAATTTCTCAATGTGTACGAGTGTTTTGTTTTTTTTGGGTTGCTCAATTTTTTTTTTGTTTTTGGTATATTTGAACAGTTTCCCACTCAGAAAACTAGTCACTGAATCATCATCTTCCAAGAGAAAAAAAAAAGTGAAAATTTGAAAATTCCACTGAAGCAGTAAACAGAACAGGATTAAAATAAGAAAAAGCTTAGTCTCCTCTAGAATTATTACACTGAACATGCCAAAATTCAGTACTAATGACATCAACAATTCATACTAAACTACAACCTCCACACTTTCTAACACAGGCTACAATCAGTCATCTCTGATCCTAAAATTAAATGGATTACCTGCGTATGACTCTGATGCAGAACTGCCACTTCTATCAAAAACAATGGGTGATATGCCTCGAGCTCTCTTCCTCTCCTTCTTTTTCTCATCTAAAACAAAAAATCCAAACAAGCTTTAAAACACAATACAAAAGAAGCTATAGTAGGCATTTCAAATGAGAACTTGTCCTGGATCTAGCCTTGTTATCCAGCCCTTCAACACTAATTATGTTTCTTCATCTCCTCATTGCTTAACTCCTTCACTTTCTCATTAAGAAACAAAACAAAACAAAAAACCTTCTAAAGCGTTATGTTTGACTCCGTCACATATTTCAAGCAACACAAACATGAATACAAAAGAAGTCAGGAACTTACTCAACTGCTTTATGAAAAAAGTTTTCTGTAAGAGAGGGAAATATGTAAAGAAAATATAATTTTCTTCAATAAAACTTGTATGTATTTTGTATGTACCATGGAGTGCTGTATTAAGTGCTGTTGCTTGTTTGAACTACACTACCATCTTCCTCAGAAATCTTATTGTGATATGATATATGCAAACATCAGAACACAAAGCATTCTGATAGGAACACACACGCACACACACCAAAAACTGATCCCCCCCTCCACCAACTATATTAAGCTTAATTTGGAACTTTATAAATATGTATGAGAACAGAAACAGAAATGAGGTCTTACGCCTCTTGCCATTGCAATCATACAATGATAAGCCCCTTTAACCAGGAGATAAAGAATATGAGGATATCTTAAAAAACAAAAACCCAACAATGAAAATGCAGGTCACATATGTAACACCCTACTATATAGTGTGAGTTAACTATTTACAAACTAGATTCTCTTCTCTCTTAATTCTTAAGGGCACACTCACTCATTGATGCTCACATATATGAAAACCTTAACCAAACAAAAAACTCCAGAACCAAGTAAAACTGAGAACCTAAGTTCCTCAGTAGCAAGACACAATTTGAAAGGCAGGCCTTCAAGCTTAAGAGTATAATACTGTACTCTATTCTCTACTCTTCTTTAGTAATGAAAAATATATATTTGTCCTTTTACAGATTTGCTGTTTTTTGAAAGCACTAGCACTTATCAGGATGCTTCTTAACACAAGTGCAGCAGATTGCCCATGGCACTATTAATGTATAACGGAAAGACATTCTGGTAATATTCTTGAGCAATGAAGCCAATAAACTTGAAAACTACGTGATCATTCTAGAACTGGCTAATGTTTTGGTGGGGTTTCTGTAAAAATTATATTTTTTCAAAGCTCTGTTATGTGTAAAGTTTCTTTTCTGAACATTTCAAGAGTAAAATCATTACAAATTCCTTAGCCCCCAAATCCCTCACTGAATTTAAAGCATAGCAAACATGTCATTAGTAAATAAAACAGCAAAGGAATTTTCAGCACATTTTATAAATAACTTCCACTACATGTAAGTACATGGAAGTTATTACTCAGAGGTTATAAGCATAATGAAATTCATCCCCCCAAAAGCTTTTTTAAGTAACCAGTGAGTTATTTTTATAAATTACTAAAAATTCTGAGAAACAGTAAACTAGAGAACTTAAAATGAAATCTAAAAAAGTAGTAATACTGAACTTAAACATGGTCACTAATATTTGAAAACTGGCATATCCAAAGGTTCCATAGTGACTCCATTTTTTTCTTTCTAGCAATATAAAAAAAAATTACCTATGTATAGTACCTTAAATAGAGTCCACAAAAGGAATTTTCAATTCCAGGTATCTCTCTCTCTCTCTCTTTTTTTTTTTTTTTTTTTTTTTGGTTTTTCGAGACAGGGTTTCTCTTGTTTTGGAGGCTGTCCTGGAACTCGCTTGGTAGACCAGGTTGGCCTCGAACTCACAGAAATCCGCCCGCCTCTGCCTCCCAAGTGCTGGGATTAAAGGCGTGTGCCACCAACGCCCGGCCCCAGGTATCTCTTTTAAAAGAATCCAATAATGAAGATTATGGGTTGAAACATATTCTCCACAAAAATATAATATGAAGTACTCTACTACACTAATAGATTCATGTAAGAAGTTATTAAAAAAATATTCCAGGTCCTAATCATCTCAGTAAACCCCTTTATTTGATTCAATACCAAAACATACAAATACTGTAAGAAAATTTCTTCTAGTACTATGGGTGGTTTCACACATCTCCAGAATGACTAAAGATTCTTCACATGAACAACACTTTTCAGAGTCTTACACATAGACCACGCTGGCCTCAAACCAACAATGTTCCTACCTTTCCTTCCCAAGTGCCTAAGATAACAGACTTATAGGACCACACTCACCTTGCCAATCAATCTACACTTCCTATCTATATAGTATAAAAACTACAGCCCATCAGTTTGTAAAGTGGATGGAACAAGCTTTCTGTACTTTTTACATCAAATCCAACTGTCATTTATTGGGTTAAATACTTCTTTAAAAGACTTCTCTCAAAAACATATCTAAACACAGTGAGGGCTGTATATAAAGAAATGTAAGATAAACAACTTATATCTTCAAACGCCCTACTACAATGGAAACAAGGTTAAAAGCACCTCAGTTACCAATCACTACAAATTACTGTCATTTATACTACATCAATATTATTTATTTCTATGACCTGCTAATGGTAAAATTCTGTAATATAGGTTATTTCAATTAGGTAGCACATCTAATCTGATCGCAGCACCCTGACAAGAAATGCCCATGAAACTCTTAAGTACCTGTTTTTGCTGTAACCTCTGAATCTTCCTTCAATGAAGGGCACCTTGGTCTTGTGAGTGGGCTTATGTTTTATTTCATAGATTAGGTAAGAATAAAGGAAAGGTGGTATTAAAGAGATAACTTAATATGGTTCTTATCCAATCTTTCTACAAGATATTTATATTCTTTTTCATCACACTTCAGCCCTCTACAGGCTATCTCAGTCAACTTGTATGTATAGAATAAAAAGAAAATCTTGTGTTTCAGGAAAAAGAATATAGTTATTTTAGCTCTATTGCTACATGATAGAAATGTAGGGGCATTCTACCATGAAAACATGCTAATAACTAGTGTAAGATTTCATGTGAATACATACCAAAAATAGGTATCTGAACAAACTGTTGTCAATGATGAAAATACTAAGAACCTATAAAATTAAAGTCTGAAATACACTTTCATATAAACAAACATGTACTCACAAAATTTATACTAAATTCAGTCAGGAAACATCTTAAAATTTGTAAAAGTTACTCAAAATTATTAAAATGTATTACTTGATATTCAGAGAAAGACAACTTGCTAGAAAGATTGACAAAACTATCCCTTAGGACCCCCAAAGGGGAGGACAAAGTGTCTCTTATTTAAAAAAAAAACAAAAAAACAAAATAGTACCTGATCCATCTGTTCCTGAACCAGATCTGACAGATCCATCTGTGAAGGAAACAGACTCAGAACCAGAATCACTGGCCTCACTCCGGGTGTCATAGTCATTTCCCTCTTCCTTCTGATCTCTCTCATCCTGTTCATATTCTTCCTCTTCCTCTTCTTCCTCCTCTTCTTCCTCTTCATCCTCCTCTTCCTCCTCCTCTGCATCTTCATCCACTTCCTCATCATCTTCTGCATCTTCATCTACCTCTTCATCCTCATCTACATCTTCTTCCACACCTTCCTCCTCATTGTCAGTGTTGTTGCCCTGTTCATCAGAAGAACCACTGCTCCCTGTCTCGTGGTCAGAGCCATATTCTTCAGAGTTAACCTCTTCCTTTGAAGACTGGCTGGATCTGCTTGCACGTCTATCAACTTCAAGCCCAATTCTCTGATGTTTAAAGAAAAAGGGAATCAGCAGTCATTAACAGACCAAGTCAAGACGAATAACTAGTTCTAAAGCCTCAAAAAAGAACAGCTTTATTATCTGCAATAACATTTACTACCTCAGAACCATCTGGTGTAGGAGACTTGGCCCTTCTTTCAGAATCCCTTTTCCGTAGACAAGGTTTTTCTGGTTGAGTCTTGTAAGGTTCTCTAGAAGAACTACTTGACAGACGAATTTTTCGATCAGCATCTAGACGCTTGTTCCTTTCAGATCTTTGATATTCCTCATTTTTATATTCTGTAACCGACTTTCCTTTTGTACTAACTATTCTTTTATTATTGCTAATAGATGAGCTTAGTGGCTTAGAAATCAGCTGCCTTGAATGGATGGAAGGCTTCTGTCGCTTGCTGTCAGTAGATTCCATTCGTTCACTTTTTCTTTTTGATCCTTTAAAATACAATTTAAAGACAAGTAAAAGTATTAGTATTACTCCATTAATTTCACCAAGATTTACAAGTAACGTGCATCAATGACGTACAGGGAAAATACAAAAACACAGAAAGCTCATTACTGTAAAGTATCTAAAATATTTTAACTCTAGAACAAATTTACACAAAACAGCTTTCCAAATGCAGACTAAAAGCTCACTACTTGAAAAATTTTAAGTATTATTTTATGTATATTATTTCACCTGCATGTATGTTGTGTCTGGTGTCTGCACAGATCAGAAGCAGGGGCCAGAGCTCCTATTAATTGTCAACAGCCATGAGAGTACTAGAAACCGAACCCTGGTCCTCTGCCAAAACAAGTGCTCTTAAATGCCAAACCATCTTTCCAGGCTCTTAGGCTTTTAAAAAGTACTTTTATTCATACTAATTGGGGTCTGTTATACAAAAGTTTATTATGGGTTTTTGGTACTAAAGGCCAAGGTACAAGTACAAGAGAGACATTTTTCTTTAAGAAATTAAATCTCTTTGCCAGGTGTAGCGTCCCATGCCTTTAATCCCAGCACTCAGGAGGCAGAGGCAGACAGATCTTTGTGAATTTGAGAATAGCCTGGTCTACAGAGCGAGTTTCAGGACAGGCTCCAAAGCTACACAAAGAAACCCTGTCTCGAAAAGACAGACAAAATTAAAAATAAAATTGAATCTCCTTTATTTAAGCTGTGAATTTTAACAAAAGTAACAGAACTCTTACCTTTTTTCTCATTTTTATCCTGTTCACTCTCTGGATTGTACAGTTCATCATCCTGTTCTGGTACTTCAGTTAAAATATCATCTAAAACATTAAGTTCCCCATCTGCAAACATTTAAAAATTAGAAAAATTAGTATAATTTGCTTTTTAGTATTTACTAAGAATTATTTTGAGTAATTCAGAGTATCCGTAACTCTCAAGGAGGTTTTACTGACGGATCAAGCTCATTAAACAATAAAGGATATACATATAGTTCCCACTTATCAAACCAAAGTATACCATATAAAGTATGAAAAGATGGCACACACCAGTTGAATCAAGCACTCAAAGTTAGTATCACCGAGACACAAATCACCATCATAAAGTCCAAATATTGCTCACTTAGATCAGAGTAGTAGTTTTGTGATATCCATACTCAAAATTTCAAAATCTGAATGTATATTATGAAACACAAAAAACTATTTCATGATATAATGAGACAAAGATAACCATATCTAAAGCTTAACTGGGGATATTGGTAAAATCCACATAAAAGTCTTAATTTTGTGATTTTGATAGGATGCTTAAGGAAATTTAAGTACTTAGGGGCAAAAGATGTATTCCACCCACAGCAAATAAATAGCTGAAGAAAAAGAAAATACAGGCCTGCAAGCATATACCCACATACTCAATTAGATCAACTTGAAAGAAGAGTGAAAGCCAGAGAGGAAATGAGAATGACACAAACACAAATGTGGCAAATGGTAAAATTGACAGAATGCAGTTGGAGAATACAAAAATTCTCTGTACTACTTCTACAACTACTTTATCTGAAATTGTCATTAGCTCACAGCATCCAGTAAATCTTCCAGTATAAAAATGTTTGGTGCTGCCCCTGTTGGCAGAGGCATGGGTGAGCTGGCCTGAGAGTGTGAGGGGGGATAACTGGCCACACCCCCTCATCTGCCATGTGGTGGTAAGGGCAAGTGAAAGTTGACCCTCCCCCTTACCAGCTCAAACCCAGAGAGGCCCCATCACTTGGCCTGGGCAACACAGTAGAGCTGGCCCTGACGGTTAGGTGTGGGAAAGTCAACTCTGAAGACATGAAAAAAAAGAACTGGCCCCCGCCCCTTGCTCATTCCTGCAATGGATGAACTAGCAGGCATCAATGCTAAAGAACACACTCTGGTGGTGAGGATGGGGGAAAGCTGATGGATGGGCAACTACCCAGGCCCAGAACCAGGGTTATGACTTGGCCCACGGACATCCATGCTATCTATGATCTGCTGAATACATGAAGGAGATGGTGCTTCAGACCCCAAGTTTCAGGATTTCCACAACACACAGGGCAACAACAGGATACCCAAGGAGTCCCAGTGAGGGTCCAACATTGATAGTACAGCAGAAACCAGAGGCCTCAAACCAGACCAATGATTCTTTGCAATGAATACTTAGACGTAAAGATATATGGATAAAAGGGTTTATCCTGACTAATTGTGTCACACTACAGCTTCCATGAGACTTTTCTGTTTTCGATCCTCTTAAAATTGTATTTTATGGGGTGGGGGGTTGTAAGGGTAGAGGGCAGATACAAAGGGATGGGAAATGAATGGGATCAAGATTCATGTGAAAGAGAATAAATAAAAAGTTAAAAAAAAGTTGCAAATTTACAACGGTAAGGAATTACAGTCACAATACCTGATGAAACAATTATAATAAGGCCCACTCAAAGCACAATAAGGTTAATAATTAGAAGAACAAAATCAGGACTAAAAATACCTGTAACAGCACAAGCAATAGACAGGGAAAGTAAATGCTTTTTTCCATTCATGAAAGATTAGAAAATTAAATCTGCTACTGGCATGAAGATTGACTTCTCTGGGTGCTATGAATATTTATCCACACTTCACCACTTTCTAGCTCTTGTAGACCAGGCTGGTCTCGAACTCAGAGATCCTCCTGCCTCTGCCTCCCGAGTGCTGGGATTAAAGGCCTGCGCCACCACTTTTCGAAAGTGAAGAAATGAGTCATATTTCTTCATTTTTACTGTTAGTGAAAATTAAAGTATGTTGAATAAAAAGGAACATATCATCACTGCATTTTTCACATAAAGATCGGAGTGATGTCAACTACCATTTTAGATTCTAAATTAGTTTTTGAAAAATAAATGGATTAGGAGCTGGAGACATGATTCAGTGGTTAAGAGCATTTGTTGTTCTTGCAGAGGTCATGGGTTTGGTTTCCCAAACTCACAAGGTGGCTCACAATCATCCTTAGCTCCTGTTCCTGGGATACAACACTCTTCTGGCCTTTGGTGCTCAGACATACAAAACACCCATACACAGAAATTTAAAAATCTAAAACAAAATTAGTTTGCTAGAAATAATCCAAATTCGGAAGATATTTAATAACTATCCACTCAAAGCTCTTTTATCAGTATAAAAAAGTGGCACCATCTAGTTTCGAAAGGATGAAAGTCATTCACCAAAAACAGTGAAAGCTGGTGGTGGCGGCAAATGCCTTTAATCCCAGCACTCCGGAGGTAGAGGCAAGCAGATCTCTGTAAATTGAGGTCAGCCTGGCATACAGAATACGTTCCAGGATAGGATCTAAAGCTACAGAGAGGAAACCATGTCTTGAAAAATCAGAAACAAACAAAACAAAAACCCTGGGATTTTCAAAGTAGCATAGCTTATATATTTCGTAATAAGAATTCTGAAATAAAATGCAAACTCTACATATAAAGGTCATAAACCTTAACTCCAGAGAGATTGGTGTAGTCCTCTATCTGGGATACACAATTTATCCACATTAGACTGTAGGTCAGACAACACAAAATACAATTTGTTTCAGGGTTCATCATCAGATCAAAACTAAAGAAAACTGAGATGTTAAACACACATGTTTAAATACAGGCAAGGAAGTTGAAGTTCACCACTCTCATTGTTCTTCAACTTGAGTAACAGCAGTTTCATGAGGTAAAACAGGATGTCCTGCAATCTCACCTTTTGATATCACGAAAATCCATTTACATTAGGATAATCCCTCAAAAATATTTTAGTCATTAAAAACCACCATCCTTTTCAATGTGTCAAAGTGTTTTGCCTACATGTATGTATATGCACCATGAGGCCTGGTGGTGGAGGTCAGACATCAGATCCAGAACTGGAGTTAATAAATATAGCCGTAAATTGCTATGTTGGATCTTGGAACCAAACTAGAGTCCTCCCAAGAGCTAGCTACCAAGTGTACTTAGTTGCTGAGCCATCCTTCCAGCCTACAAACCATCATTCTTCTAAATGATGTCCAGAGACTTGATGACACCTTCCCATCAATACTTTCCACCCTCCATTCCACCAATCAACACCTAAAGATCATATTTTCCACCTCTACTACAGGTAAACCAAAACAAGACCTGAATTGGGCAGGGGAATGTGTATCAAACCCATATTATTTACAGAGCTATTCCTCGGGTAATTTGTTAACAACACTGCTGACCACACATGTATACAAGTGTATGTATATCAACGTAGACAGTAGCTTGTATGTCTGTGTAACTAAAACTAAGCTCATGCTCAGTTATTCATGAAGTTCAACCATGTAAATTTTAAGGCAAAAAGGACAGTTACTTTAAAAGACACATAAAAGCAAGACAAATATACTCCTTGCCCTCCTGAAGCTTGCAGTTTGGAAATGTAGAAAGTTACTTGCAAAAATAAAAACTCATACACATTCTGAGTTAACTATTCTTTGTGGATTATACTGTAGGAGCTCAAAATTCATGCAAAATGTTACTTAAACAGAAAAGATGTGCATTTCTTCATCCTACAGAAAAATGAAGAGCTGGGGATATGGTTCAATAGTAGAGTACTTGTCTGATACACGCAGGGCACTGTTTCCCAGCATCATCAAAATAAAACAACCCCACAAAACAATCAACTTCAATGTTTCAAATTGACTTAATTCATTGATGAATTATAGGAATTGATGTATTTATTACAAAACACAATAAACGAAGAAATCCTCAGAATCTCTTTAAAATTCATTCTGTGATTAACACACAGGAGTTGCAATTTTCTGCCAACTCGACACTTTCTTTTTAATCAAGAGTTTCCAAAACTAGGGATTCATTAAAAGCTTAAGTTTTAGCATGCTAAGGTTCTTAGAGGACATAGCTTTATACTTTCCTGTTAAATATCTAACATGTTACTTAACACTATCAATTTTCCTCGTTCAAGTGTTATTGATTCAAATGCTGCCTATAATTCACAGGTGACTGACAATGATATCAAATGAAACCAGCACTTCCAGTAGATTACTAGTTGTTTGCACAGAAGAGATAATCTTATTTTAATTGTAAAAAGAATCACTTGAGGCGCATGCCTGTATGCCTTTAATCCCAGCACTCAGGAGGCAGAGGCAGGTGGATCTCTGTGTGTTCGAGGCCGGGCTGGACCAACAGTCTCAAAAATACAGAGAAATCCTGTCTTGTAAAACCAAAAAAACAAAAAAAACAAAAAAAAACAAAACAAAAAAAACACAAACAAACAACAAAAAAAGAATCACTTGAAGCTGGAAGGTGGTGGCATACACCTTTAATCCCAGCACTCAGGAGGCAGAGGCAGGCAGATCTATGTGATGAGTTCAAGACCAGCCTGGTCTACAGAGTGAGTTCCAGAACAGGATCCAAGGCTAAAGAGAAACCCTGTCTTGAAAAAAAGAAATCACTTAAACAAGAAAGCAGTTTAAAAATTTGCTTTAAGCCAGGTGTTGGTGGCACACACACCTTTAATCCCAGCACTCAGGAGGTAGAGGCAGATAGATCTCTGTGAGTTCGAGGCCTGCCTGGTCTACAAAGTGAGTTCCAGAACAGCCTCCAAAACAATACAGAGAAACCCTGTCTCGAACCCCCCCCAAAACCACAAAAACAAACAAACAAAAAAACCTGTTTCCAATAATTGTAAGCATTGGTCACAAGTGATACCATTACTTCTTAATAATGAAGTTTATAGGCTTGGACTGCATCTTTACCATTAAGTTCATTTCTAAAACCAAATGATCATTACTTTTCCTCATTTTGTATTACTGTATATCACTCATTTATTTCTATGTTATGTTCACCTTAAGAGACAATACATTGATAATAGAATTGTTTTTCAATTTTGTGTTTGGTTCCCCTTGTCTACCATGGCAACCACTGGAACCCTTTACTTCAAAATCATAAATCTTACTCCTGACAATCAAGGTTTGAATGAATCTTTACTGGGCGATAAAATATCCTTAAGATCTTTTTAAAACTGACTGTGCTATAAATAAAGTGGCTTTCTTTATTGGCTTATAGAATTGTTTCACATTTCTTCAGGATGTCTCAGGAGCGAGTCTGGCTTTAGTTTAAGGACAGAAAATAAAACTGTAAAGATAAAGAATTGCTTCAAGTCAGGAAGAATTGGCACAAGCTTTTAATCCCAGCACTCTGGAGGCAGAGGCAGGCAGATCTCTGAGGTCAAGGCCAGCCTGGACTACAGAGTTCCAGAACAGCCAGGCGCTACACACAACACAGAAACCCTACCTCAAAACAAACAAACAAAAAAACACCACAACAATCATTGCTTATGACAAAGGCATTCCTCTTCTTCCAAAGCCCATCTTTATCCTAAAGCAATTCACTGAAGCATACCTTACTGAGGTAGATCAGAAAAACAGAAAAAGTTTAACTGAACAAATCTCCATGTGAAATTAATGATCTACACAGAGCCTTGAGGATTGATTATAAGGCAGCAATTGTGCTGTATTTTCTTCACACTATTCCAGGACGGCCATGGTAGTCCAAGAGCTGAGAAATATCTCAAGGCAGCATCCAATCTAGATCACTCTCCAGGATAGCACTAACTAGGGACTACGCTGGCATCTGTGGTCTCTGCAATGTCAGTATTTCACAAGAAATGACATTTTATTAACTTAAGTTCTTCCCTTTTATCTCTCCAAGTCTCCCGTTACCTGCACCTATGTACTCCTGGTTGCACACTGTATTTCTGGGAGATGAGCTGCCAGGACTTGGGGTGCGTGCGCGTGTGTGTGTGTGTGGGGAGCACCTATTTTTTCCTAGCACCTTCCTTTCTAAAGTGCTCGAGGAAAAAAAAAAGACATATTTGCTTATCAGACAGAACAGTTAGAAGTTACTTACAGGTTATTTGTAGAAATTGATAGCTCGCTCGGAACGTTTAAAGCAGCCTAACCACTGGTCCATCAACGCTAACTACGGCACTATTTTCGGGGGTCGGGTGGGGGAGTCAACCAGAAGAGTTCAGAAAACACGCATTACATCCGTATAACCCCACCAGAGAACAAGCGCCCCCGGGGGCACAGGCACCTCGGAGCAGGCTCTCTCCCAACCGCTCCCGGGACGGCTACGTGCTCGGGCCGAGGTGAAGTCCGGGCTGAGGCAAAGCCCTGGCCAAGGGGGTTAGGCCCCGTGGAGGCGAGGGCGCCAGGCCGGGGCCGGGCCTCCCGGAGAGCGGCTCCCCGGCTCGCCCGTCCCCTCCCGCCCCGGCCTCAGGCCGCCGCTCCTCCGTCCCCTCGCCGGCCGCCCGGGGTCCCCGTTGCCCGCACTCACCTTTCTCCTCCCGGCTGTCGGCCGCCATGGCTGCCCCCCGGCTTCCGCCGCCGCCACCGCCGGGACGCGAGTCGCGCGGGCGCCGCAGCCGCGGCCGCAGGCGCACGAGCCCGTCCGTCAGTCCGTCCGGCGGGCCGCGCGCTCCGACCTGAACTGCGCCACTCAGCTCCTAAGCGCACCCGGCCTCGCTTCTCCTTCCCGCCTTTCGGCACTGGCCTCGGGCGGCCCGGGCTTCAGCCTTCCTGTTGGGACGCCGCCACCACAGGGACAAGGGGAAGGGGAGACACACAGATGGCGACGGCGGGCGGCGCTAAAATGGAGCCTGCTTCCTGCGGGAGACAATCCCGCTCCCGAAATGCCTTGCGCTGTTTACGCTCCGTGCCTCGAGGCGCGGGACGTCACAGCGCTGAGCAGGACGGAGGAAGCGCGACGGCGTAGGGGGGCGTGGTCTCGGCGCGTCGGCGCGTCGGCACGTCGCCCCGCCCCGTGCAGCCTGCAGGTCCAGGGAAGCTTCCTCCTTGCAGGAGCAGAAGGGAGGTGATGTCTGGATCTTTGGCGGCGGTGCTCCCTACACGTAGGGCGTGCGGGTTTCCCACGTGAATCGATTGGTAGGCTTTAAATGATTGTGAGACAGCATCTGAGACTGTTATGGAATGTCCTTTTCATTCGTTTATTCAGTAGTGTCTACTGTTTCTCCTTAATTATTGTTCTAGGCCCAGGGATTAAGAATATGTTTAGGGCCGGGCATCGGTGCCGCAAGCCTTTAATCCCAGAACTCAGGAGGCAGAGGCAGGCGGATCTCTGTGAGTTCGAGGCCAGCCTGGTCTACAGAGAGAGTTCCAGGACAGCCTCCAAAGCAATACAGAGAAACCCTGTCTGGAAAAAACAACAACAACAACAACAAAAAAGAATATGTTTAGGATCTGTTCTCTGCCTTAAAGGAAGTCTGACTTTATTTTCTAAGTAAGGCAGCCAAGGCTTCAGTAAAACAACTTGAAAGTTGTGATGAAGCCTAGTGATAGTGTTGCGTGCCTTTAATCACAGCACTCTGGAGGCAGAGGCAGGCTGATTTGAAGACCAACCTGGTATATAGAGTGAGTTCCAGGACAGCTAGTGTACAGAGAAACCCTGTCTCATTTTTTTTAAAGGAAGAAAAGAAAATTGTGATGAACTCTGTGAAAGAAAAAGAAGGCTGTATAGTGATCAAAGCTAGCACAGAGGCCTTCCTGTTGAGAAGAGGACTAATAGTTGAGATGAGTAAAGAGAATCTAACAGTAGATAAGCATGATTGTCTTCCAGACAGCACATACAAAGGCTTTACTATCCAAGGAGAACTCCAATAAGCAGGAATGGGGATGAACAAGAAGTATTGGGACAATGTCCGAGAAACAAGTCACAACTTAGAAGTAGTAGTAGCTCAGGCCAGCAGCAGTGGTGTAAACCTTTAATCCCAGCACTTGGGCAGAGGCAGGTGGATCTCTGAGTTCAAGACCAGACTGATCTACAGAGTGAGATCCAGGACAGCCAGGGAAAGAAACCCTGTCTAGAAAAACAAAAGAACAACAACAAAAAGGGATAACAGAAGTACCAGTAATACAAGATCTTCAGGGAACTTAATTTGGCGTGGGCCTATTGGAATATAGGAAGTGAAAACACCTTGGGGATTCTGAAGAGCCACTCCTATAAAATGTTAAAATAAGTCTACACTTGCAAGATGACAATCTCTAGTTTCTGAAACATTCGTGATATTCATTCTTGCTAACCTTAACACTTTACCCATTCCTAACACAAGTGTGTGAGAGAATGTGTGTTTGTGCTTACTGGGGTCTTTCAAAGAAGCCTTCCATCAGATCAGAGTGCATTTCTCTCTAAAGTTTGTCTTCACCACTCCTCACTTGGTGTAGCCCTGTCCAATTTCACTACCAAATACCTATTGAATATGTGGATTCGTAGGAAAACAGTCATAGTTGGTTTGTATTGCCCTAAGTCTGAAGAAAGTGTCAGTATTTAAGGAAAGGCAAATGTATAGTACCATAGAACATTTAAAAGGCAAAAGATTTATATGAAGAGAAACCAGAGTATAGTGTAGAACATTTACTCATACCAGAAAGCTAAGGACTTGGGTTGCCAACTCAGAATGTTTTGAGCAGCTGTAAAGACAAAAGTTGTATTAGTTGAAAGATATAAAATATGCTTCAAACCATAAAATCATTGTAGTTCAAGCAGTTCATAAAACCCTTTGGATGGTGGTAGGAAAATAGCCAGCCATTTTTTTTTTTTACCACATTTTGCTTTGTTGTTTGAGAAAGTACCTTTCTCAAAAAGTGTATACTTGAGTGTCCTGGGTCCTATGATCTTCCTGCCTCTATATCACAAGTGCTGGGCATGTGCAACCATGCTGTGGTTCATAACACATTTATAGAAATGATCATTTATCTAGACTTCCCAAATCAAATTGTGTATCAGTGATACCAAATGAGTAGTTGGTAAAGCAAACGTCCCATAGTGAAAGCACCAGAAAGCTAAGCCATCACCATTTTACAATCTTTAAGGAAATAAACATATAATGCAACTAGCTACAGGTAGTAATATAGTAATTAAAATAAACTGGGTGAAGCAGTACACACCTTTAATCCCAGCACTCAGGAGGCAGAGACAGACAGATCTCTGAGCTCAGCCTGATTTACATAATGAATTCCAGGGTAGCCAGGACTACAACAGGGAAACCCTATCTTAAAAAAAAAAAAGCAATAGTTGTTATAATAACAACAGTAGAAAGACAACCAGATGCTTGGTGCCTCCTGGTATAACTGCATCAATCTGTGGTGACTGATTGCATTGTTAATTTGACTAGCCTCAGAATTATCTAGAAGATTGGTGAGGCACACTTCGGTGTGTCTTGGAGGTGCTGTATACCAGTTTCCTCTGAGATTGAAACTTGCCATCCTGCAGGGGCACTCCTTAAGCAGGAAAGTCAAGAACTAGAAATAGCTTCATGAAGTCCCTGAGACTAAGCAGATTCTCTTGCCCCCTCCTTGCCAGACAGAGTAAGCAATAAAAGCTGAGAATCACGTCCTACACACACAGTCATACAGGTAAATGAGCTTTCACCGGCCAGATACAAAGGCTATGATTTATTTGGATGTGAAATGTCCTCTATAGGCTCCTTTTTTGAACACTTGTCCCCTGTTGTGCTTTGTTTTACTCTTTTGGTCTTTGCTCTTTAGGTCTTTGGAAGGGGTCGCCACCCAGCTCAGATTCTTAGTTATGAGTGCCTGGCCTTAGTTTGACTTGTTTCTAACCAGCTTTTCTTATCTTAAATTACCCCATCTACAATACGAGAGAAATGATAAAGCCAAGTGCCAGGGGCCATGTCAGAGGAACCCCAGGTAGCAACTGAGCTTCAGGAGATCTGTTCACCAGGAAGCAAGGCACTGATAGGTCCTGAGGACCACAGCCCCAGAATGCCTCTTGCTACTGCTGTGCCTTTACATGTTTGCTACTGCCATTTTTCTCTGGTATCTGGCATGGTGTGAATGGGTGTGGGGGGAGCCCACTGCCTACATGTAGTATAATTAGCTCATGGAAATATCCCGTTCTACGGGGCGTTTTTACCTATGGATTATTTTTAAGATGATTTCCTCTTAAGCTGTGCTGTTTAACTGAAGTAATGATTTTATGCAATAATAGTGTTAGTTTAAATACAATTTTGATGATTAAGGGTTTCTAACACATATAGTAAGCAGTTGTGATAGAGGTTAGTTTAGTGGGAAAACTAATATAGGAAAAGGTAGGATATAGTGTTGCCCCTGCCACTGATAAAGCAGGGGCTGCAGAGGAACTTGCACGTCAGGATATCACTAGGTTATCAAAGTTCCTGGAATGGAAGACAAAAGAAGTAAAAGGAGGAGAAAGCAGGGATCATAAGCAGCGGCAGAAGAGAGAGGGAGAGGGAGAAGGCTTTGTCTAGGAGAAGTGTGAAACTTGTGAGTTCAGGAAAAGCAGCAGCCACAGTCTGGGCAATGGCAGACAAGAAGAGAAAGGATGGGATTTTATACCCCCAGGAGGTGGCACTAACTCCTACAGTGGCATTTACCTTTAAGATTAAGCCACCTGTGTTTAAGCTATTGGCACATTTGTTTGACAAATTCTAGTAACCACTGAGAATTTTAAAGTGTACGTCACAGGAGTTCAGCCATCCCAGCAGACTGAACACCTACAGACAATAAAGAAGGGTTATAAGCTAATTAATTCTAAAAAACAAAACAAAACAAAAAAACAGACAAGTAATGCTACCATCCAATGAAAAGATTTCAGTATTCTCCCACAGCTCATTAGTCATTTCCTAAAGTACACCCATTTTGACCATTAATACACATTACCAAATACCGTACAAATAAACAGGGTGACTGTGATCAATACTCCCCTTCCAGCTTTTACTGCCTCTGACACAGCAGGAACCACAGAAGTTATTACTTTCTTTGGAGGCGAGGGGAGCAGCTCAAAAATGCTAGCCATATACTTAACTATTGTTAATAATTAACTATTGTTATGAAACTGATCAGCCATTTAGAATCCCTCATACTAAAAAGTTATAACCCGAAGACTGATTCTGTCCTCCAGATGCTCTGAGTCTGGGAAGGGCTGGTCTTGACCATTCTGGTCAGGTTTTATTTTGATCTCAGGCACCTGAACTTAAGAGGACTCTGCCTTGCAGGGAACGGCTTCAATAAACACGTCTCAGGGTGGTCACTTCTATTGATCTTGTCTGTCCATTCTCAAGATTGCATTGTCTTCTTCCTATTCTTCATTCTGGCATGCCTCTGCCAGTCTTTTTTCATCTTCATTATCTTCCTCCCTATTCTTGTCCTGCTCTTCTAAATCTGTTCTTCTGTCTTTGTCCTTCTTTTGTTCGGGGGCTTTCTTGTGTTTCTGCTTGCTTCTAGAACTTTCAGTGGCGTAACAAACTGCTGGAGCTCTCTTCTGTGACCAACAGCACACCACTGGCATTGAGAATCTTACACTTCCCTTCTTAAAGAACTAGACTCTGGAAGAGGTACGAGGGTGGTGTGGGGGTGGGTCGAGGGTTCCTTGCAGATGTTGACACCATCCGAGGGAGCACCACTGATAATACTGGGCGTTGGGCAGATTTAGGTACTCTGGCCTCTCCCCATTGCTTCTGCAAGGGCCAAGCCTCTTCCACCATGGGCCTCTTCAGATAGCTCTGACCTTACCTTTCTTTGATATTCATTGCATGCTCTTTTTCACAAAGGTATCTGCAAATAGCTGTGATCAATTCCTTAGCCTTGTGTAATAGGAGGAGGAAGAAGAGGAAGAAAGGAGCATAAAACATAACAAAAGACACCTTCTACCTAGTAACCCAGTGGTACAAGACTATTGCCTCTTTTACAATCAATTCTGAGTGCTAGGAGGTCACTCAATTGTTCCAAGAGAAAAAAATCTAAGTCATCCATTTCCCTCTCCCAAATAGGTGGAACAATTAAAACCATGAAGAATGTAGGACTTAATATGTATGTGAAAGGTTTGAGCCATTCTTGGTTGCCTTTGAAAGCACACAAAAGCAATTGCTTTGGAGAAAAATTGGGCAATATAAACACAGAATCATGGTTAAGCCAAGGTGAAAATTATTTTTAATCATTCTGAGCTACTGTTTTTGCACCAGAAGTTTCAGGCTCCTTGAGAAGAAAATAGTTGCAGCATAAATTGTGCTTGCTACATTATAAATCATTAAATTAATAACTGAGTCAATTCAAACGTGGAGTGTTATTCCGGTAGTAGTGGTGCATGCCTTTAATTCTAGCACTCGGAGGCAGAGACACTCAGATCTTTGAGTTCAAGGCTAGCCTGGCCTACAGAATGAGTTCCAGCTAGGGCTACAACAGAGAAATCCTGTCTCAAAACAAACTTGGGAGTATACTCTGTATCACTCACTAATCATTCTATAGTATGACTTTTGAACTGGTAAGCCATAGTGTATAGTATATGTAGACAAATTATTTGGAATTGTCCCAGATGCTGTATAATCTTCTACACAGAACCTCTGCTTCCTAGAATCATAGTGGGTGGTCCAAGAATTACAGCCTCAACTGCCCAGGCAAACCATCCAACTGGAGTGTAATGTACATTATTGTACATGACAAAGCAATTAGAACCTAGCTTCACAACATCAAATAGGGCAGGCTGGGGCATCTGCTTGGTGAAGGCATCTGGGAAATGTAGTTTTTAACTTTACACTTTCCAAAGCCAGGAAAACAAAGTGGGTTGTAAACCGGATGTGTTGACTCCTTCCTGTAATTCCAGCTCTGAGGAGACTCATCCTGCAGAATTGCTGAAAATTAAAGGGCATCTGGGTTTATAAAATCAGACTCTTTCAAATCAATCAATCAGTCTTAAACCCTGATAAAAGTTGGTTGTATTAAAAACAAAGCAACATGTTATGTCATCTAGCCATTATTTGAATTCTAGAGTTTCAGGATTCTGTACATTTCTGTGTCATAATACAATAGATTCTTGAATGAAACATTTCAAGTTATCTTTTTTTGTAACAATTGCAAGATTGTCTTCTTGAAACACCTTTAGGTTTATGTTCCATCCATCCACCCTTTTCCATACTGTCAGTCATGATTAATACAGTTGTTAGGACTTTCAGAAGGGAGAATAGTATTTTTAAAAAACTGTGAAGCCAGGTGGTGCGCACGACTTAGTCCCAGCACTTGGGAGACAGAGGTAGGCAGATCTCTGTGATTTCAAGGCCAGCTAGGTCTACAGAGTGAGTTCCAGGACAGCTAGGGCTACACCCTGTCTTGAAAAACCAAAGGAAAACAAAACAAAACAAGCAAAAAGAAAGCAAGAGCTTTGAGAGGCCTGTGAGATGGCTCAGCTGTGAAGACACTTGCCACCAACCCTGACCACCTGAGATGGTTCTGTAGAACCCACATGCTGGAAGGAGAACGTGGTAGAAGGAAAGGTCAGGCTGCCCTTTGACCTCCATTTGTGTGGTCGCACACAGCCACTCCCCTCCACTAGCAGATATATAAAGTAAAATAAAATTTTGAGTTTCTTTTGCTAGTCAGGTGAACATTTTAATTCTTACCACCAGTGATCGATCAATGACTAAATCTTAAGCCTGCCCATTTTTCTCTCTCCTCTGCCTCCCATTTCTCACCCTTTCTCCCCACAGTCTCTCTATGTAGCCCTGGCTGTTCTAGAACTCATTCTGTAGACCATGCTGGCCTCAAACTGACAGAGATCCACCTGCTTCTGCCTCCCAAGTATGGGATTATATGCATAGATAGCACTAAGCCCAGCTTTTTTTTTTATTACTAAAGCTAAGGAGTTTTTTTTTGTTTTTGTTTGTTTGTTTTATTATGTTTTGGAGACAGTGCAGCCCAGGCTGTCTTCTAGCTTGCTATGCAGCCAAGGATCCATCCCATGAACTCCTGATCCTCCTGCCTCTACCCCCAAATAGGGGTTGTATTACCACCCCTGATGTATGTAGTTCTGGGAAAGAGCCCAGGGCTTTGTGAATGCCATCCAAGTCCTCTACCAGCTGAGCCACATCTTCTGCTCCTGCCTATTTCTCTGGTATTTCTTAGCAATTTGTTCGTAGGTTATCTGATATGGTAGAAAACAGCAGGTTCGTTTCATTCAAGTGTACCATTATTAGTTTAGTAGGACAGTTCGAAGATTTGGAGACCCCTTGGTGTAGCCTTGAGTTCACAGGTAGTGTTTCTTTTTAGTTTTTTCAAGCAAATAAAAAGGAAACTTTCTACCTTGAAATGTTCCTCAAATTAAACTTAAATATGGGGCATTATATGCTTGCTAATAATGCAACAGTTAAATGGAGATGCAAATGACTATGTAACAGTATAGTTTTATGGCATTGAGTGATGTCCTAATCCTGGGTCTGTGCTATGTCTAGCTCACAGCAAGAGCAGTGGAAGGAGGGACATTGTGATTGGCCAGCTCTCTCACCCAGGAAAGGACAACAGGTCTAAATACCCAGCACTGTCATTCCACCTATGGAATCTGCCAGCAAGTTAAGTGCCCTTTCCTGATTAAATGAGGCCAGTTAAGGCTCCATGGCAACCTCAGGCTGCAAGGAACACAATTACTGAATCTGTGTCTCCTAGCAAGAAGAACGTAAATCACTCAGCTTGAAATGATGGGAGCTTTATTATTAACTACTACTTTTTCTGGAGCTAAAAACCTCTCCTTTCCATCCCAAGTTCATACAAGGAGAATTAAAGTTGGCATAGGACAGGATTATTTTGTTCATTACTCATATTTAATAACTTTCAGGGAAATAAACTTGTTCTATAGTCACTATTGAAGCTGGAATATTAATATTTTGACAGATTAAGACAAAACCTTGCTCATGAACATTATGCTTGACCAGCTATGTTTAGAGACTAGGTTCACCACCTAGTGGCAAGAGAGACTAACTGAAAGTAAGCCCTTAAAAATAGTCTCAGGAGCTGACCTGAGCTGTGGGAGCTCAGGGACTCTGAACCTACAGCTAGGGAGCCTGCATGGAACCCACGTAGGCCTTCTGCATGCAGGTGATAGTTGTGTAGCTTGGTCTGTTTGTGGGGCCCCTAGCAGTGGGACCAGAACCTGCTCCTGATGCATGAGCTGGCTCTTTGGAACCTATTCCCTATGGTAGGATTGACTGTCTGCTAACCACAATCATATTCTGATTGACATCTGGCTACAGAGTGCTTGTATGCAATACTACTTGACTGACCAAGCCAATAATAAAGCTGTTCATTTAAACCTGTTTGTTTGTTTTTGATTTTTTGTTGTTGTTGTTTCTGTTTTCTGAGACAGTATTTTCTCTGTATTGCTTGGGAGCCTGTTCTGAACTTGGCTCTGTTGACCAGGCTAACCTCGAACTCACAGAGATCTACCTGCCTCTGCCTCCTGAGTGCTGGGATTAAAGGCGAGCACCACCACTACCTGGGTGCTTTTTAAAAAAGGATTTACTTGTTTTTACTTTATGTGTATTGTTGCTTTACCTGCATGTATGTCCATGTGAGAGTGGATCCCCTGGAACTGGAGTTACAGACAGTTGTGAGCTGCCAATTGAACCCAGGTCGTCTGTGAGAGCAGCCAGTGCTCTTAACCGAACCATTTCTCCAGTTCCGGAAAAAAAATCTCTGTTCAAGTATAAACAGAGACAGTCTGAGCTATTCGGGGCCACTTCAGTGCATTCTACTTGGTGGTCAGAAGTTTTCCTTACACTGGTGCTCCTTTCCTGTCTCAGGACCTGAATCCAAGGCAAGACTGGGAATCAAATTTGGGTCCTCTGGAAGAGTAGTATATGTTCTTAACTGCTGAGTCATTTCTCCAGCCACCAAATCCATAGAGTTATTCACAAATTATGTATGTATGTGCTGTTTCTTATCCTCAGTAGTGAGATATAAAATAGTATATCTAATTGTTGATAGTGTGGACACTGACCAATCAAGCATGTACTACCAAAGTGCTGAAACTGCTCCAGAATGTTGTGCCCTTCATGTCTGCATGATGGATATATCCCTGTTAGGCAGGGATACTAGGAAGACATGAGAGAGAGACTCAAGGTAGCTTCTATTTATTATGGATATGGGATTATACCTGTGTTTTAATAATTGATATTATCATGTATACTGGCTAATTATTAACTCTGATATAAGACAATTTAGACACAAACACTGCATAATCTCACTGACATGGACTGTAAAAGTTTCCTCAAACTAATCAAGAAAATAATAGTAGTTAACAGAAACTGCAATGTAGAATGAAGAAAGAAATTGTAAATATTGAGGAGAAAAAAGTTTGGGAGTTCTATGCCACAGTAGAACTTAAGAAATTACCCGCCGAGCCATCTCTCCAGCCCCCCAGAAAGTTTTAATATAGAAAAGTTAGAGTTAAAATTCCAAATTATACATGTGTACATTGCAACTGTTTCTTTTCTTTTTTCTTGAGGATTAAAAAATAACTACACACACAGCCCACAGTGATTTCTCAACTACTTCTTTAAGGGAGATTATTTTAAGCAGATTCCTAGATAATTCATGTGGGTGGCCACTGTCACTAATTGCACATTGACTTTTTGTTTTGATTTTGAGATAGTGTGGAAGCATGCCTGGAAAGTTTTGAAATTCGACATTGCCCTACTCTGTTACTGCTCTTCGGCCTGAAGTTACAGCATTGTATGGAACAAGGGCTTTTCCAGTGTGTCTTCCCGAGTGTCTCTATTATTGTTCTGCCTGAAGTTGCAACATTGTATGAACACTGGCTTTTCCAATGTGACTCTATTTTGAGAGCAAGTACCAAGGAAGGAGAAAGATTGATGCATTGTTTGGTTTGTGAAGTTAGCAGCCATCACCTGACCATCGTAGACAGTAAGTCTGGGCCTGGTAAATAACTCATTCCTGACTACAATAAATCACTCCCTATAGGCTATTTGATGTGGATTGGAAACATAGACATATCTAAAACAGAAAACAAATGAAACAGACCTATCTGTGACTTTATCAAACACACTGACCTAACAAAGCATGCAACACCCTGAACAGATCACATAAAAGGAGTATCACATGGTGGTACCCACAGAGACACACATCTCAGGAGCAGCAGTCAGCAAGCTGTCCCTGGGGCTTCTGCTCAGCACGGTCCCCATGACTTAAGACAGCCCCTCTAATTGCCTAGTCCTTCATGTAGCTCCAGTCTTGAAAACTGCCTTGGGGAACTTTAAAGAAGTTTGCCATTTGCTTCGGAGATTTTCATAAAGAACACAATACAGTAAATTAGAGAAAAAGCAAAGAATTTTCATTTGAAAAACTGAAAATAAAATTAAAGTCTGTTAGTGATGGAACATGGGTCTCTCCCTTGTTTAACTACATCTTTACCAGCATTCTGTCCTTCACTGTCTAAGTCAGACTGTCCTGAAAATTTTCTGTAGACCAGATTGACCTTAAACTCAGAGATCTGCCAGCCTCTGCCTTCTCAGTGTTAGGATTAAAGGTGCCCACCACCACAGCTGGTTTTAAGCTTTTCTTTAGTTCCTTTTCACAAACTAAAAACTCAGCTGGGTGGAATGTAGTCCCGAGGTCACCATTCCCTTTATTCTATTTCTTAATCCATGTATCTCCTTGAACATAAGATTTAGCTCTTTTCCACATCTCGGTGCCCCTTTTCGCAATCTGTACATTTTGTATTTTTATTTGCTCAGCTTGCTCCTTTTCATTATATATCTTCGTTAAAGTTATCACTAATAACCATACATTAGAGACAATACTAGGCTGTTTTGAGATTCCCTCTGCCAATGGAATTAATCCAAAATTTGAGCATCAGGCAGATTCCGGATAAGGGCAAAAAGCAGCCACATTCTTCACCAAAATATCACAAGAACAATATCTAGGCAACATACTGAAAGTTTTCTTCTCTGAAACCTCTTGATCCAGCCCTGGACAGTTCGAATAACTCTTAGTGCCTCTGTCTTCCATGCTCCAATTTGTATGGGCTATAAGGCAGTGCTTAAAGCACTCCACTGATTTCCCAGCCCAAAGTACCAAAGTTCAAATTCCTCCAAACAAAAACATGGCCAGGACTGCCACAGCAGTATCCCAGTCCCAGGTAACAACTTCTGTCTTAGGGTTTCTGTTTTTATGAAGAGACACCATGACTATGGCAACTCTTATAAAGGAAAACATTTAATTGTGGTGGCACCTTACGGTTTCAGAGGTTTAGTCCATTATCATCATGTAGTGGTGACACAGAACTGATACATATGAACTCACAGAGCCTGTGGAAGCATTCACAGTGCCTGCACAAGTTCAAGGCACCCCTAACCAAGGAACTACCTCCAATTGACAACCACCCTCACCCCGAATCTTCTACGATATTTTAGTTATTTTTCCTGTTGCTGCAACACAATGCCACAGAAAAGTAATCGAATGAAGGAAAGTTCATAGTTTTAGGGTATAGTTCATCATAGTGGAGAGTTATGTGGCAGGAACCCCAGGGGACTGATCACATGCATCTTTCATTAGAAGCAGTTAGCAATGACTGCTGGTATCCAGCTGTTTTTGTTTTTTAATTGGGAGCTCTAGACAATGCGATGGTGCAGCACACAGTTAGAATGGATCTTTACACTTCAATGAATCCAAGACAATTCCTCTGTCACAGACGCACCCAGAATCTTGTCTCCTATGTGATTCTAAATCTTGTGAAATTTTCAATCAATATTAGCCAGCACAAATCACTTGTCATAGTAAAAATGCAAAAACTTATCAAAGAATGTAAAAGAAAACCTATAATTAATTCTGAGATCAGAAAGCCAAAGAAGAAGTGTATTCCAAATTCTGTTGATTATTTAATTTCTTACTTGACCACTGGCTGTATTTTATACTTACTTCTGTTTTGTCTTATTTTAAAGAAACTATGGAAGGATTTCTCCTCAAACATCTCAATACCTTCTTTAAGAAAGAGTAACATACAAGCTTCACAGAAAGCAGGTATTCCCTTTTACTATGTACTTTATGTCAGAGCAACAGCAGAAGGGCATCCAGATCGTATGCTAATCAAAGGAAAATCATGAATTGCTCGTTCACCAAATATTTTTAATGCATAATATACTGTGATGTAGCTCTCTGATTACAGGTCTCGGCTGTGTGATACAAAGGAAACTAGTTTGTGGTCTGTTTTCAGTTGGTGTGGAGAAGTAGATAGTTCTATAATACTTTTCGTCACAGTTTTAGGTGCATACGTGCTACACTGGGCTTCTGACAGCCACACACCAGGCATTTTGTCACAGTGTTTTCATGTCACTCAGCATGTGTCATGCTTAATGAAAGCTTGCATATCCACAGGTGGGTGTGTCAGGGCCATTTGGCAATCATTCTGTTAAGAAATATTTCTATATAGCTTTTTGAAAAAAAAAAGTCAAGATAAAAATTATTGGTTCTTTTCCAGGGACAATAAGAAGGTATATTAAATAATTTTAATACTCAAGAAATAATAAATCAGTCAGTTTAGAGCAAGAAGACAGGCATGAGAGGTTGCCTTTTTAAAAAATTATTTATTATGTATACAGTGTTTTGTCTGCATGTATCCCTACAGGCCAGAAGAGGGCACCAGATCTCATTACAGATGGTAGGGACCCATTATGTGGTTGGTGGAAATTGAACACAGGAACTCTGGAAGATCAGCTAGTGTTCTTAACCACTGAGCCATGTCTCCAGCTCTGCTGATTTCTTTTTGCAGTCAGGAATGAACTACTCTCCTAACTTCTAGCTGTGACAGATTTATTAGGAAAGGACATTTTTCCATTGGTTTAAACAATACTCAGTTATCCTCTGCCTTTAAAAGTATAATGAAACAACCCTGGCTCACTTATGACTTGGTTGTTATTATCCTCACTTGGCTTTGCCTGTTAATCCTCCTTAATAATCCCCAGAAATGAATAAGGTAACCACCGCCTCCTCCAGATTCCAGGGACAGCAGTTAGTTTGGCAAAGGTAGTGGTCTTTTCAGGGCTATCTACTAAACCATTGAAGCTATATAAGAACACAGACTGTAGTGATAACAAACTAAAAGTTATTTTCATTTTTCTAGTGTTTCCACAATTCTTTTTGTGTATTGTCTAAATTACCCTTATTCATTTGGAATATGCGAAAAGATGAAAGAAGCATAGACAAAGTGAAAATGAATGACAGTTAAAAGAATTAATATTAACTAACTAGAGAAAAAAATACCCTATGTCTTCATTGTGTAGGAGTCTAGTAGATTCCAAAGAAATGACAGTGTGTTATTTTATTATGGGAGACATAAAGCAAAGATGGAAAAATGGAGACACTACTGTCATTCACATTGTGCTGTCATTATAATGCTTCATGATTTATATAGGCTTTCATGCAGAAACTTCATAATACTATACAGCTACACATTTGGAATGTATAGATCTAAAGCTTGGTCAAAATGTTGAATCAGAACTAGATTTTTTCTCAAACTCAACCTATATTTTTACTTGTTTATATTTGTATACTTATCATTGTGGCAGACAATGAAGCTACAGCACATGTATGGAGGTCAGAGGACAACTTTGTGGAAGTCTGTTCTTTCCTTCCGCCCCATGACTCCGTTCACTTGGCTTGTGTGACAAGAAGTTTTCCGTCCCCACTGAACCATTTCATTGGCTCTAAAACCAGGTTTCTAATCCCGCAATGCGGTAATTCTTATGCTCTCTCATTGAATCATCATTTGGTTTCACACTCCTCCCACTGTTTCAGAAGAAAGCCCTTCCTAAAGTGAGTAATATGAGGAAGGTCGTATAGTAGTATCAGGCAGATGATAGCGTGTGCAGGAGAACAGTAGTCAATACCAGCAGATGAGCCGGCAGCATTGGCACTAATGAAAGAACTAAAGTTGGGAAGTCACAATTTCATAAAAGTATGAGAACCGGGAGCAACCCACAGAGTAATCCAATAGGAACACTAAACAGAAAAAAAGAATGTAATTCAAATGATGGCCAAGAGGGAGGAGATGGTGAGGGTAAAATCAACATCGATGGGAAAGTAGTCTTTTTAACAGTGTCACCACGGATCATGATCTACAGCTAGAAACTGAGAGTCCGCAGCTGCGATTTGAAGTCAGTGGCTCCGTCTGACAGAGCCAGAGTCTGAGAAGTCGCTTTAGTGTCTACTCAATGTCCATCACCCTTAAAGTACTGTACATTGTGTGGTCTTTCTCCCTGTAGAAGCCAATAGTTCCTACAAGGTCTCTGCCTCAGAGTTACTTATCTTCAGAAACTGGTGTCTTGCCTTCAGAGTCAGGGTTCTCACTGTTTAGAATGTTACATAGTAGCACCAATTTCCCTTGCTGCCTTGTTGCACTAGAATCCAACCATTCCCAGCTTCTTCTCATTTTGTGTAGTAGATTCAGATACTCTGAGCTCATCTTTGCATAATTATGACCTTTTATCCACACATCACAAATAGTAGCTGATATTGGACATATGTTTAAGGTTGTCCCTATGGTTTTAAAAACACCTTTCATTTCTTTTATTCACTCATTCATCCATCTCCTAACTATCTGTCCAGATTGCTGTTTTTTGTTTTTTTGAGATGGGGTTCTCTGTGTGCAGCCCTGGCTGACCTATCATTTGCTCGTAGACCAGGCTGGCCTCGAACTCACTGAGATCCATCTACCTCTACCTCCTGAGTGCTGGGATTAAAGGCCTGCACCTCCACTGCCTGGCGCATCTTACTATTTTTGTGTGTTAAAGACTTACTAAGTGTTTGAGTTGTGATGAGAGAGATAACTATTGAGGGATACAGGAATTCTCATTGATGTGGAAGGGTGCCTAACTTGGAAAACTATGCTGGGGAGAAGCTTGGAAATGTTTTATGAAATTGAAAAGTCACAAGCCTCATTCCCAATTGATTATCTCAGTATCTTCCCATAAAGATTGGTGCTCTTTTTCATTTGCTTTAATGTCTTATTTGTATTTGTAAAATACTATGAAGAGCATGCAAAATTAGTGGTCTGTTGATATTGCTTACAGTTACGTTTCATAATTATAAAGTGAATCTTAAAAACCAGTCATATAAACACCATGTATTCTTTTGGGAAATAACCAACCATATGGAAGATTAAAATCCTTCCTGTCATTTCATCTGACAGCCTTCTAATCTCTCTGATATTACACAGTTGGACTCATAAAGATTCTCTAGGCCAGTGGTTGTTTCTCTACCATCTAATACTGTGACCCTTTAGTTCCTCAGGTTGGAGCTAAACAACCACAAAATAATTTCACTGCTACTTCATAACTGTAAATTTTGCTACTGTTATGAATTGTAATGTAAATATCTGATACCTGGGATTTCTGATATACAAACTTTGTGAAAGGGTCATTTGACACCCAAAGAGGTTGAGACCCATAGGTTAAGAACCACTGTTCTAGAAAACCCTGAGCGCCATAATTCATGGGTCTGATGGTCCCTACCACCTCTTTAACTTATTTAGTTCCTCTCAGGTAGAAGATACCCAGTCTCTCCATCTTACATCTAGTAAGAGATTACAACTTATGTTAATGTTAACTCTGTCTTAAACTATAGAACAGCAGATCCATCTAAAGTAGAAACAAGAGCATAAATTCATTGTTATGTATTCTACAATTCATAGATTTGTGTTCTATACAACTCTATTGTACATATATCCAAAATGCCCATATGGATTATAACAGTGACAGCAAATGAAAGTATAAGATTTAAGAGGTTAAGAGGGAGGGCTAGAGAGATGGCTCAAAGGTTAAGAACACGGCTGCTCATTCAGAGGACTTGGTTTGATTCCCAGAACCCACATGGTGGCTCACAGCTATCTGTAACTCCAGATCCACGGAATCTGATGCCTTCTTCTGGCCTCCATGGGCACTAGGCACATAAATGGTACCCAGACAGACAAAACCCCCATGCATTTAAAATAAAAATAAAATAGAAAAGAGGTTAAAAGTGATGTATACGAGAAAGTGTAATACACATACCTCAACATTTAAAATGTATGTGTACTTTATAGCGTAACATGTATTCTATAGATTTCAAAGCTACATTATCATCTTAATTATTTTCCTTAGTTGCTGCTACTTCCACATACAAGGTAAGGCCAAGCAAAAACAAAGTGAGGAAGATACAGAAAATTATGAAGAGATGATCATGGACTGCTTCTTTCAGAACATATATGACACATGACTCTTCAGCCTCACCACAAAACTAAGTTATGCCTCATTATACAAAAGCCTATTTGTTACTTAATTATTTGGAAGGTTTTCCATGGTATGGAGTGAAATGTGTTTAGTAGTTTTGTTGTAGCCAGTATTTTCCCTGCAGCCTCCTCACCTTGCTGACTGGCAGGGTGCCACCTTTATTGCTATTATTGATCATTAGACTTACACTCCACCTAACTTCAGCTGGAGTTTCTAGGTAAGTGTGAACCCATTAACATGCTGTCATAGAATAGGGCCTTTTCCCTTCCGTGAGGATTTATTTCAGCCATCACTTGATGGGATGAGAGAAACATTTTCTTTGGTGGTATAGCCACTGGTAAGGTGCCCATGCTGCTCTAAACAGTCACCCATGTTCCTGCCACCAACCAGAATGAAACTCATTGGGTCATCAAAAAATAAATAAAAAGACAGGAAGGTACAAGGAGGACTGTTTTTAAAGAGAAAGGGATTGGTGAGAGTGGGAGAGAGACAAGAGGAAGTAAAAGAAATGAATATCAAAACATTATATACATGTATGAAAATATCAGCCTGAAGTATTTTATGTGTAATTAGCATTGCTAACTCTGCCTCTAATTGATAAACATGACTAAGAATTTTCAGGCTGAATCCACATTTAAGAGAAGCCATCTGTAGTTCAATGAAGGTTCATCTTGCTGACAAACCAAGTTTATCAGAACATCATTACTAAGCAGAACACCATATTTTAATTTTTTAAATTATTATTTTATGTGCATGAGTGTTTCTTATTTTATGAGCATTATTATTTTATGAGCATGCTTGGTGCCCAGAGAGGCCAGAAGAGGGTGCCAGATCCCATGAAACAGGAATTCAGGGGATTTGTGAGCCACCTTGTGGCTACCGGAAATGGAACGGGGGTCCTCTATACAAAGAATAGCCAGTGTCCCTAACTGTGGAGTCATCTCTCCATCCCCATAAACAAGACATTTTAACCCAATGTGTGGCTCTGTAAGTCGTGTCTATTCTTGTATATTGGTGTCTTTGTGAGGCATATTACTTTTTGTGTGTTAGTGAAAAGGGGCCCACTCAATCTCCACACCAGCATCAGAAAAATTACATGGTGCTTTCTTGTTAGAACCTTCTCTTTCTAAAAGAATTCTACAGTTTGCTTTACTAGGGAGAACATTTAATTGCAAAAGGAAATAATCACAGAGGGCTAACTCATCAAGTAAGTCACTTGCAAAGCTATTTTAAAGTGATTTTCAGATCAACAACATGAGGCAATAGTTAAGCTCAAAAGCAAAACAAATTTGAAGAATCTCAATTTGGCAAGAAATATGACTGACCAGACATAAAACAGAAGCAATCAGAGTCTGCTTTACCAGGATGAAATAAGCACTGGGAAAAAGGCAAATTCAAGCTTCCTATGGTCTCTGGGTAACTTAGCATGTAGATATCTACTGTGGAGGAAGAGAAGTATCAGGTGTATTATAATTGCATAATTGGTGTCTTTAATTTTATGCTTACTAAGGCATATGCTGGTATTTTGGTTTTCCCAGTAGATTTGTCTACCAAGAGAAAAAGTACTGAGGAACATGAAAACTATAGTCCATTTCACTAACCCAACAATATTCATCATTTCGAACTGATCGACATGCTTTCTGTTCTATACTTTAGCTGCACAAAGTATGTTATGTAATTGCATGGTATAATTAATGTGTTGAGAGGCCTATACATTATGTTATATACTTTGGTAATTTGATTTTAGGTAGGCATTTACAGATGGCAACATGGGCATAGTAAGATATTATTTTATGCAATCAACTAATTAACATTCCAACACTGAAAATGTGCACTTTTATTTTTATTTCTCAAATTATCATGATTAAATGAATTCATCACCCTCAACCAGCAGGTGCTGCATGAAGGAGAAAAATGTGTATTTATTGATGATTTACTGTTATTCTGTTCCTTAGGTATATTATGTCATCTGTTTTGGACAATAATCCTAGAGAAAAAAATACATTCTTTTTTCTTTAAAACAGAAATAAGCTTAGGCATGTTTAGTAAAACTTGCCCCATGTCACATGAGGAGTAAACTGTAGTGCTAGCATTTAATTCCAAGTCTAAATGACTTGTTTGCTCTGATTTCTTGTGGAATATTGCAGTCTTATCCTCTACAAGAACATGTCGTCAGGTATGCTATTAAAGCTTTAAATGAGCCTTCACCAAGACTTAAGTGGTGTTTGAATGAGCCAGATTGGGAGAGGTCATGACTCAGACATGGAAAAGAAATGTGAGGCTGGTAAAAGCATGGTCTTTGGAAATCTGTAAATCAAGCCAGAGACAAAGAGATTTAAATTTAAAATCTATGAAATCTTAGGGAAATCTAGGGAACAAAG